TGATGAGTCTATAACATTATCCTTAATTCATTGCTTCATTTTTAATATTCCAGTGCTAATGCAACATTAATATTGTAGAATCAAATGCTCAAAATAGGTCAGCCAAACAGGTTGGAGACTCATCCTTTCCTTTTCTGCCTTCTGTGTATTCAGAAAATGGTCTTATTAGTGTTAAATACCAATAGTCAAGCAATGTATCATATCATGAAATTATAATGTACAGTGGGCTACATATATTTCATTTTGCTCTCATTAAGGTCCTTCTATTGTGGATGTTCCAGAAGTAGAAGAAAATTTATTTTTTTAATCTTGTTACAATCAAAATCATTGAACAGTTCTTCTCAAGAGAGAAACACTATCACTATGATATGCTTTATGAACTTTTGCCAGCAGAATTCAGCTTGCTCTGATTCCAGTCTGAAATGTGAATCTCTACAATTAACTTTGACTCTGCCTTTTCTATAAATAATAGCAGATACAAAATTCCCCTCCTGATTTGTAAGCCTTAGTGTTTTGAATCCCCTTTAAAAATCTACCCAGAGAGACAAAAGTTGAAGGAAGTAAACTTAGCGTCTAATAAAGGTAGGTGAAAATTAGAATAAAACATGGTATTTTATATGAAGTAATGCATATGCTCTTGTTGGAACAGAATTATCTGTGTCAGGTTTATCTATTTCATGTATTTGCATAGAGTTCATTCCTTTAGAGGTTAATATGTTTATATTAAATTTTATCATGTTAATCACTGAAACGGAATAGGTAATGTTATCCAGAACAGAACAAGGGTCTTGACTTACTCTAAGTCAAAGAAGGAATTTGTGAACTGTGACTAATACCATTTCAACTGTTAAATTATTCTGCCTTAGCACAAGCTGCAACATATGGCAGTGAATCTGTACAGTAGGATTTTGCAAGTGAAAGAACAGAGAAAATTCTATGGACAGTTGGAAGTCTGATGCTGAGGCAATCACAGATTTTGTGGAACATGTAGGCTTTTCTTATTCTCTTCATGAAGTAAATTTAGAATGACATATATAGTTCAGCACTTGTCACACATAAATCTAAGTATATTGAGAAATATGCTTTAATTTCTCTTGTGCCTTTTAACTTAGGGGTAATCTTGATGTTGCGTATGGGGTTTCCATGTAATCCTCTTATATATGGGACTTTGAGGATGCGGGAGAGCACATACGTAGATTAGACAGATGACATCTTTAAAAAGTACATTTTTAAGAAGCAAGAGAATAAAAAAATTCCAATCCTAGTAGCTAGAATATGGCATGTACTTCTTTTCAGTAACAGACAGATTAAATTTGACTATGATATGAGTGCTGGAAGAAACTTTGCTTCCATGGGTCACCGTACTCATTTTGTGTTTCATAATGGTATCAGATGTGTGAGAGAAGCTCAGAAAAAGGAACACTTGAGACACGAGAAGTTTATATTCAGTGAGGTGACGTGACAGAGTTAAAGGGAAGAGACAATTTTGTAGCAGGAATGAAAATAATAACAGTATATAGAAAAAGTGGGCTAGACATGTAGCAGTGCACACAGTGAATGCAGACTTGTCTATGGGAGCCCAGCCTTTCCAGCAGGCTTCATGTCCCATGCGAGTTTGTCTTGTCTTTATTTTCTAGGATGATCTCTCTTTCCATACTTTTTATTAAACAAATTAGGCTCCATCTAAACATTTTACTATGTTACTTTCTCAGCATTGTGGTCTGTGGTTTTTTTTTTATAGGTTATGTTTCTTTGTATAGCTTATGTATCTTGTATAATTTTAATGTTTGGCAGAATTTGTGTTCTGTAGTCTTAACTCCCCAGCTATATTATCCAGCAATATCTGTAGCAGTTTATATTTTGTTCTTCAGCTGAAATATTTTCTTGGCTGCTCATTAAGTGGCAAAACGTCTTCCAGGAGTATTTATATCCATAGAATGTAATTAACGTGGTTTACTTCACAAGGAATATACAAATATATATGAATAAAGAGAGACTTATCATAATTTCAGTAACACTTTAGATTACCTTGGGAAGTTTTGTCCAGTGTGTAAGTACCTGTATGCACAAGTTGATTCACATCCTCAACTAAGGAGAAGGAGTTTTCATTTCGTCTCTTTTCTACACTGAATTTATGCAGCTTTCTGTTCTCTGAGAGCGAAAGTAGTACTTAGCTGTAACCTTCTGCCACAGAGACCCTATTCAGTATACCTTAGCTAGAGAGAGTCTCAGCAGTGCTATATGTGTTTAGAGCAATAGTGAGGTTAAATCAAGGCAACAATGAGGAGACCTTCAAAGTTTGCAAAGGGAAACAGATTACATTTCTATCAGTAAAAAGGTGGGGTCTTGAGGTTTTGGTGGTTTTAAAAAAAAAAAAAAAACCAAAACAAAACAATAAAAACAACAATGTGGAAGATTAAAGAGTAGAAAAAAAAATGCTTGACTTGATATGTTAGGATGTTGAAGACTAAAAGTAGTGGAGTCCAATACATAAAGATTTAAAGAATATACATATAAAGAAAGAACAAAGGTGTCTAAGAAATAGAGTAAATTTAATAAGTGGTTCTTTAAATAGGCACTATACAAAATAAAAAAGAAAGTATTGATCAGTATGTGTTGAAAGCTAGTGACAGGGATTAGTCTGACTACACAAAAGACGTAAATCTTCACATAGTTGTTTGAGCAAGATAATATTGTCCAGTCTCTGAATTGCTTTCATCTTGGTAAGACATATTCTAAAGCATCTTAACAGGACAGTGACAGCTATTCAAGACTGACAAAAGACCATAGCTGCATTAAACTCACCATTTCTCAAAAAATAACAAAAGCAAAAAGAATAAAAAAATATTTAATGAGGACCTAGGTTGACAGAAAAGCAAAATTAAGCCTTCTTCCACACACTAATTAAATCAGCTTCATTAATAAATATGTTTTTTTAACTATATGTAGTTTTTGACTGAAATGTCAGTTTGTTAATATGTCAGTTATTTTAGCATGTTGTAGTTGTGGTCTTGGGCCCTAGGTACTGAAATTGATATTCAAGCAGAGTTTGCTTAAATTTGTTGATTTTCAATTCAATTAGTTAATTGAATTGAATCAGATTAACAGTTGCTTCACTGAACAATTCTTCAACTGTCTGCTTTGTATTTGCATAAGTTCTTCAGCTATGATCCACCTCAACATAAAAATTCAAAACTTTTAAGGTGAGTCCTTTGTCTACTGCTGCGTGAATAACTGTGAATAACTGTGTTTAGACAGCCCATTAAAAACAAACAAACAAAAAATAAATTAAAACCCAAAATATTTATTTCATAGATAATGAGGGTTTATTGTCTAGATCCAAATTTTCTGGAATAAGTTACTGCAGTGTTGTCATGATTTCATATTGAATTGCAACCTTTCCAGATATATATTTTAGGCATGTAAAAAGTGTAAGTTACTGTTTTTGCTGCTTCTTTTATTTATTTATTTATTTATTTTACCTTTTAAGACTACATTTAAAAAATACAGCTTTTAGAATTTCAAATGTAAATAAGGGGAAAAGTCAGCAGGAGCTGAAGACGTTTTGCAGCTTAGAAATGGCTTCTGAATCACTGTGATGTTCTTCAAGTGAGGAAGTAATTAAGAAATACAGATTTGGTACTTGTAATTTTATTCGAAATAGCTTGTGAAAAGGGACTTGGACTTTCACTAGACAAATGACTGTATTTAAAGTGCTAGATTTTTAGTAATAGCACTGTGATATTCATCCTTGAGAAATTAATAGTCAGTACTGATTAGGATACTGTACATAGTCTTCAGTCATTATTACACCAGATAGTATTTGACTGAAGTTCCAGTTAGGTGCAGATTTTTTTTCAACATTTGCCTAGATTCCCCTTGATATTGTCAAACAATATTTTCTTCTTATGTACCTGGGACTTATGAACCTGGAACTTGGAATTACTGTCACCTACTTGACCTGTTCATCTGGTATTCATATCATTGTGGGGGTCTCTGCTGAAGATCTCCAACCAAAAGAGAAAATGTAGGTTTGTCAGTGTGCAGTGGTTATACTGTGCTTTGATAATCCTGCATGTTGGTTTTCTGTCTAAAATATATGAATAAAAATACTGGTTAGTATGTTGCATGTTTGGAAAACTGATCTTAAAAAATAACAATCTGTTTAGCATGTTAGTACATAGACCTAGAGAACTAGTTGAAATAATAAAACCAAAATATTACACTTAAGGAGCTGTTGATGAGTTTGGTGTGTGAAGCTCCAGTGTCAGTTGTCTGCTATTATGAATGAGTGTTTTCTCTTGTTTTCTTAGCTTTTTAAATTTTTTAACTTTCATTCTGTTCCTGTTTTAAAATTAATTAGAAGGTTATGAGATTCATTAAGGAAATTTCGTTTTAAAAATTGACTCCCATGAAAGCAATATTTGGTGCCTTGTAACCATTTAGTCATTGGGTTCCATCCAAGAGTATTGAATTAATTTTTTACTGTTTCATGTTGTACTTAAGCTTCAAGTACAAGGGATGACAAGGAGTAATTGTAATCACCATTCAATTAAGAAAAAAAAGGAAATTGGAGTCGCTAAAAAAGAACTGAGTCTTGTGGTACCTTGTGAGAGCTCTGATGGGTCTTGCCTTAAGCCAAAAAAAAAAAATCCATGGTTTTAGGGCTCTTTATCCTGTTGACAGTAGAATCTTTCTAAAAAAGCTGAAAACGAGCATGTAAGGCAGAGAAAATATTAAACTCTCCTGATTTTTATTATTATGTCTTTCTCAGTGTGTATTGGAGCATTTTCTAGAACTCTCCTAGGAGGCCACAACCCTATGAACCTTATCCAAATAAGAGGTTCAGAGAAGCATCCATTCTGTTGAAGAACTGGCCAACGGAGACCTCCAAATATGTCCTATCTGTCCATCATTAGAGAAACATGATGCGCTAAAATCCACTTTTCACAAGTATTGTTTTCTGAGGCTTTCATAATTCTCAATTTTGCTGTTCACAGAGAGCGAAGAAGTGTACCAGCGCCAGGTGCTGTCTATTTCCTGTATCGTCTTTGGCATAGTCGTAGTGGGCATGCTTTGTGCAGCGTTCTACTTCAAAACAAAGTAAGAGCCTTCATCTACTGTGTTTGTTATTGAGCTTCTGTCCTTTTTACAGCTTAGAATTCTTCAGTTTCTACCCTGCTTTTGAAGCTGTTGCTATCTCTGAACAGGCTAGAATATTTCCACAAGGCTACCCTATGTAAAAAAGGTAAACAGGAATAATATGTGGTTTGTTTCTATTTTCTGCTATCTGGAAAGAATTGCATTCTTTCCAGTTCTTTTTTTGACAACAAGAATTTTGTGTCTTTTGCTATCACTGCAATAATCACTCTCCTCTTCTGAAAAATGAAAGTTTCAAAGTATCATCTTTTTGCATTTTTTTATCTCTGAATGTCCCTATTATTTCTGTATGCTGATAAAGGTAGTTAGAAATGCAGAGAGAAGTTCTCTGCAGATATCTCTAACCTGTAGCTACAGATAGATGTAAACTGTTGATGTAGTTGTATAATGAGTATGTGTAACGTACAAGCACATTGAATCACCCGAATATAGTGGAATCATCTGTACTAAACTATCTTAAAGTAAACCGGTTTCCACTGTATTGTTTATCTTCCCAACTGAACATTATTTTATAATATTTATTGTTATGTGTCTAATTTAAGTTGCAAAAACCTCATAGCAATTACATGGCATGCTTGTCAGTGCCACTCTATCTATAAATATGTTCTGTATGGTTGTCATCCTTATTTCTTCTTCCAGTTGGAGCTAATGAGAAAACATGTATCAATATGAATAGTACCTCCATGAGATTAGTCATGGTGGATGAGTGTCAACAATGTGGAGGTTTGCACTATTTAAAAGTTTGGATGCTTATCTGAATCCCCCTTTTTATAACTTATTTTAATGAGTAGGGACTCTGATGAGGACTACCTTTTATTAGGAAAGAAAAAAAAGAGAGTACATTTCTAGATCTACATTTCCAGATCTACATTTCCATATAAAAAATAATTTAAAAAAATGTTGGAAAAGTCACCAGACCTTTTTTTTTTACTCTTTTTTCTTCCCCTCAGACTTCAGGGGTAATTTGTGCATGACTTGAATGAAGATTTGAGTTGGTTCGTGTTTCATTTCCTATCTGCTCTAATGTTTTGAGGGATTGTATTTCATTGTTCTTTGGACCTTGAGTATGACAGTGACACTAGCTAGGAGGATGCTGTGGCAGCACAGTTCCTCTCTGCAAACTTCTTAGATGTACTATAACTGACAAGGGAGCTTAAGCATCTCACATATGAAGACAGGCTGAGAAAGTTGAGGCTGTTCAGCCTGGAGAAGAGAAGACTGTGGAAATCTCATAGAAGCCTTCCAGTATCTGAAGTGGGCCTACAAGGATGCTGGAGAGAGACTCTTCATTAGGGACCACAGCAACAGGACAAGGGGTAAAGGGTTAACACTTAAATGGAAAGTTTAGGTTAAATATAAGGAAGAAGTTCTTTACTGTGAGGGTCGTGAGGCACTGCAATAAGGTGCCCAAGGAAGCTGTGAATCCCTACGGTGTTCAAGGCCAGGCTGGACAGGGCCTTTGTTGACATGGTTTAGTGTGTGGTCTCCCTGCATATGGTAAGGGGATGGGAGCTAGGTGATCTTAAGGTCGTTTCCAACCCTAACTATTCTATGTTTCCATGATTTTATGAAATTGTGAGCAGACAGCCATTTTGCCACTGCATTAGAAGCATCATTACGCATTTTAGAGAGAATACGGTGTTCCTGTTCTTCCTGTAAGGGCTTGGGAATTTTGCTTATGAGGAAAGGTTCAGAAAAGGCAGAATGGGTTTATCGGTTGGAAGAACATGCAGTCAAACACTGAGCATAGTGTGAATAAAATGTCCCTCTGTTAATACAGCTGTGCCCCCCTGATCTTGCATTGTTGTTTGAACTGGTTTGGAACAGCCTTCAAAGTACCATGACTTTGATGAGATGGTAGGGGTAGCGATGTCTGAAACTATTGAGTAATGCTTGAAAGATGAACTCATGGGACTATACTGCTTCATATATATATATAAATATATATATGTATATATAGTGCTTCATATATCAGCAGGGTAGGGGTGGGAGGTGTTGGGTTTTTATCTGCATTATAAACATGATAGTTAAGAATTACTGGAGTGAGTTAGTGTAGTTATGCCACATTTTGGGAACTGAAGTTTGAGGAGCAATGAGAAAACAAGTGCCTCCCATTCATTCCAGAGGTCTTATTAAATATGTGAAACACAATAATGCTAAAATACTAGTCAATCCCTAGCTCTCTGGCTTTGGCTCCATCTGGAGACCGTATCAAAAGTAAATAGTGTCCAGACTGGGTTGTATAGAGGGCATATAAAACTGTCATAACTGTGACATTGGCCAGTGTCTTAAGGGTGTAAAACTCAACAAATTTAAAGTGCCTCAACCCTTATCATATGTTAGCTTTTAGCCAATAGATTTTCAGGAGCTTCTTCATCAGGCAGGTGTACCTTCATCATGCTTATGAGTTATCAGAGCATTCTTCCTGCTTGGAGGATAACAATTTGGTTTAATTTGATATATCAAAATTTTAAAGTGTTGCTAACAGCTACAGAAAATCTAAATCTTGCAGCCTAGAAGAAAAAAGACACTGACCCTGACTTTCATAGTCTGACAATTGTATAATATCTACTGCTAGAAGTATGTGCTTCCCTATGCACCATTAAATTAAAACTCCCTTTTAAAAATAAATTCAATGTGGGGAAGTTTAGAACTATAATTAAACACTTTCAATTATTCCTTTTAGGGTAATCGAGAAAGTGCTGTAAGTGTTAGCAACAGAGGGCGAGTACAGTAATGGGCTGCTCTTTATGGTGTAGACTTTCGTAAATGACTAGCAATTATTTCTTGCTGAAGCAATAGCACTTTATTGATAGATTTATCTAAAGTAGAAAAATAAGACCCTTTTGTTTTGAAAACAAAAATTATAAAATAAAAACAGTAATTGGTGATTAACTTTGTAATTTTGTTTCTAGTTTTATATGCATCCTATATTTTGGCAAAATGAATATGCATAAACCTAACAGTAATGTTAGGTTGCATGAACGTAAGAGGAAATTAATTGCTGGATTATTTCTCTCAGTAAATACCTTCAGAAATCTCGATGGTAATGTTGAAGTGCAGCAGTGAAGCTGAATATCCATTTTACTTACATGCGTTTATAGATGTGGAAGCAACTGCAAACCCAGGTTTTTTAAATAAATCCAAATTAGAGTTAAAAAACTTTGTAATTTGCTTTGTTATTTTCCCAACTAAATTCTAAGAATATTGTATATACAGGAGAGTCCTAAAGTCTGATGCTGTGATCATGTTTTGCTGCCATTGTTTAGACTTTATTTGAAGTCTCCACTTAGAAACAGTCATTAAATATGACTAGGTGTTCCATAACTATTACGGAGAACAAGAAACAAGAGGCTAGCTTTCCATTAAGACATATGGATATACATTTGCTTATTTTCTCAGTATATGTAATTTGGATGGTCAAAAAATAATTATTCATACAAAATCTAGAGTTGGTTTTAGGAATTTCCCCTGCAATTTTATAAAAAGCTAGAGTTCATTTTGACTTTTTGCAAATTAAATTATTCAGTTTCACTGGTTTCAAAAATTAGTAGATATAAAAATAGGTTTTTAAAAGAGATGTTTCAGAACCAATCTAATTGCTTTATATTATAACTATTCAGATTATATGATATTATTCTTTACAAGCAAATTTTTAATGTTTTTTATGTTTGAGAAATTATTTCCTCTCACCACTGCCCATAAATCTTACTAATTGAGATTAGTGCACATAAATCCTACAAATTATGAGCTCCTGTGAGCTGTTTCAAAATAGGATGTAAATAGAAAACATAAGAGAACTTTGTAGAGTCCAAGGTTTAGTATAGTTTATGACCTGTATTCAGGAAACGTGCTTTAACAAGTACCTACTTCTGAGCAGGTGCTTACAGATTATGCATTGCTGAAGTTTGAAGAGTAGTAGGGAAATGCACACCTCCCGTACTGAACTAAGGGACTCAAAGGCAGGAGAAATCCCATATATTTATTTTAACAAATCAAGAAATATTGAATATGTCAAGTGTGATACTTCTCACTGCTTGCTTTCATAGTGAGGTAACTTGTCCTTTCTCACCATCTTCCCCTTTGAACACTTGAGTAAGTCAATTTTCCTCTGGTTTCTTACACTTTCCTGAGCTAAAAACAGACTGTACTGGAAGAAGCTAAAATTACTTTTATGCTTCATTCAGTGTCAAATTCATTGGTCTGAGTCAAGTAAGATGTGATCAAAATTGACAATGTCACAAGGCTTTCAGCCACAAAATCACAAGCAATTTTCAAAATGTTTCTGAATCTTCTTTGCTAAAATTTCAGATTTCTGGATAGCAATACTGCATTTCCTTTATTTCTTATCAACACTGTCCTGAAATCATTTCCTCTGAAATATGGCTCCACAAATTGTTGTCTAAAAGCTGCTGCTGGCATAATGAAGTGCTGCTGCTGCTGCAGCAAGTCCTTGACCTTGCTGTGCTGTTTCCAGGGCCTGTGTGGGTTGACTCCTAGAGATGCATCTTTTAGGGAGAAGGAGGAAAGGCAGGAAAGTAGCAAGGAAGGAAGGAAGGAAAGAAGGGAGTAGAATTGGAGTTATTTCTAGTGATCATTTAAAACTAATAGTCTCAGAAAATGTTGCTTATTAAAAGAATGGAGATGGATAAAAGACTTTAAATGTGTTTGCTAACAGTTTTTGCCCAGATGTGATACCTGTTTGTGGAAGATAAAAGAAATATTTAAAACAAAGTTTGCTGCCTCATATCCTCAGTCATGGACAGAACTTTAAAACTCAGTTTGTGAATAGTGTGGCAGAAACAGAAAGCCGTTATTAATAGCATAGTTATCTCCTGAATATTGCAAGTGATTCATCGGTATTCCTAGCTCTGACATTGTGGATCATAGTATAATATGTCGAAAACACAGCTGCAGATACCCAACTCATGTTTTTTTCAAGGTTTAAACTAGTAAGCAAAAGCTGGTCTATACAAGATAGTGGGTTATAGGTCAGTCTAATTAGCTAGCAGAAATCTTTGATTCTTCAACACTTTTTACAGCCAACAGGGGCTAATGCCTGCTGTATTTGCCAAAGTCTTTGTTCTTAATCTGAGCAAAATGCTTTTTTAATATTCAGGCCTACTTGCAAGCTTTTGTTAAATATTTAATAGATGATCTTACAACATTCTGTGCTGAAACAATTAGCATGCTATTATTGTAATCTGAGAATAGAAGATATTTTAAACAGAAGAGCTTTTTTCCTTTCTGAAGCCTTGCCAGAAAATGACCACTGCATTGAAAGCATTGAAATATTAGACACTAGTGAAATAGCTCAACTTGTTTAATCTGATATAGTGAAGTTTTGAACAAAGGGAACTATGGCTGTAAAAATACCGTGGCTGCAGTAGATGATCAGACTAGCTCTTTCTTACATGAATTTTATTTCTCTCTGCAGGAAACAAGCAAAGCAAATTCATGAACAGCTGAAAGAAACACAGAATAGGAAAACCTACAGCCTAAACGCTTCCAGCATGATGGCAAAGTCAGAGTGTATGGCACAAAGCCAAGTCCAGCTGCAAAATGTAAGTAATCCTGCCAGCTACAACACTTAATAGCCTGGCTGAGTTCCTGCTGCTGATGGCAGCACATCGCCATGTTGCTATTAGCATCTGAGCAATGGGAACAAGAATTCTCACCTCTTTCATAAAATGTTTTCTATCAGGCCTGATAATGGAAAACACTAAGCAGGATTTTTTCTGAATTTATTTCAGTGGGTCCTGTTGCATTTTGTTCATGTAACATCCCTTGCTGAGGCCCCTAGCTCTGCATCCAGCAGCGGAAATTAGTATTAGAGTTTTCGGCAATAATTTAGCTCGTATGTATAGTTTACAGCTGAAGTGGGGGTCTGTGATCTTAGGTGATTTCAAGTCTTCCAATAATTAATGTTCCTGCCTGAAAAAATGTAAAGATTTGTCACAGTTAATTCAGAGTAAATTCAAAATCTAGACCTAAATTTACACATATAAACTAGTGTTCAAGGGAAGACTGTGCAGATGGTCTCATTTTCCTGGGTCATGAGTTAAAAGGACTTTGATACCAGAAAGAGGTTAGTTTGTTCAAACTAAATTTGAAATGTATTTAGTCATTTTCTGTATATAGTTACACTTAAGTTAATACAGTTCCACAATCATGAAATTCATTAAGTGTATTTTAAATAAGGAACTTGAAGATGACTAATTTGTTTAACCCTGGATGTAAGTTACTTTCCAATGCATGTCATTTTCTTCTCCATGGACATATGCAATTAATGATGTCTTATTTGAACAAAATCTTTGAAAAAACTGAGAAGGAGTCTGGTAGCAATAGCAAATCATAAGTTTTATTCAAGCCTTTCTAAATGCTTAACTGTTAGTTTTTGTGGTGGGTTTTTTTAAGGTAGGGTTTTTTTGGGGAGAGGGTGTGTTGGTTTTTTGTGCCTGTTTAAAAACAAAGAGTATCTTAGCATTGCTTAAAGGGCTGACTACCACTGTAGTCATGATATGCTCTATGTTTGAGGAAAAATACACTGTTTCAAGAAAGCAGATAGCTTCACTAAACTGACATAATCACAAGTTAGGGAACCTTGTGCAATTCTTTGTTTTACTTTCAGTTCATTCAGTCATACAGTCCCTTCTAGCCCCTAAAAAAAAAAAAAAAAAAAAAAAGCATTTGGGGAGTGTTGTGTTGTAATGATGGCAACAAAAGGTAAAGTTTTAAGGAGCTTCTGTAATCCTTTTGTTCTAACATATAACGTATGTCTTGGTTAGCATTAAGAATATGTTCTTTGCCTTTTTCTGACTGTAATTCAGTGCAATATTTTGTCAACCCATCATCACTATGAACTATTTGATGTCTTCTGAGCAGCTGACAAACTCATCAACAAGCTTTATTTAAGTATTTCCCTTTTGCTATGACAATAATCATAATGGCTGAAGTAGCAATTTGTAGATTCCAGATACTAGGTATTGAAAGCCATTATTATTATTTATTATTTTAATCCAAATTTGCCTTTCTGTTTTTAATGCTGTTCAGACTGGCATTTTCAGTGCTGGTAATTAATACACTGTTTTCTTGTTCTTGTGGCTGCTTGCAGGCAGCTGTTTTCTTCTTGCCATTAATGCATTTTCCCTTTGGGAGCAAAGATACTAAGGAAGACAAACAGAATGACCTTGTGCAGGATGTAGTGTAACTGTGCAAGGCAATAATGGTTTCTATTGTTAGCAAGATTTTAGTGCAGGAATGCATGTAAGAAGTTCATGAAATATTTAGAAAACTTGGAAGATTGGAATGGAGAAAAAAGGGCAGGGGGGATGGCAAGGCAGCGGAAAAGAACTTTGAAATGTTATTTTATAGGAATGGCTGAGTGGCTCCCCACTAGAGACCAGAGATCTGCCCTAGGCGTTATCTGCTGGTTGGAAAAGGGACCAAGTATTGCCATGGGGAGAAGAATGCTCCCACTGCTTCCTCCTGTGGCTGTGCTGCTGCCTTTCTGCCAGTTACTGCTGGGGTGTGATCTCTCTTCAATTCCCATCTGCAGATCCTACCAAATGGATCTGGGGAGAAATCCTAGTTCTCTTTATTTCCAGGAGCCAGTAAATAAACTGGAATAAATTAAGGTGACTGTTTTCTGGAAACTAGTCTTCCAGTATAGCATTTTGGTTTATGTAATCTTGGTAGTTGTTTCTTGTGCTCTTCTCACATGGGGAAACTGTCTTGCTTATATGTATGTCACCTTTCTCTCTTTCCCTAAACGATTCCCCCATATCTTTCTCCTGCTTATTTTGAATGGTGATGCTTTCAGGTTTCTCTCCCTGCTTTTTCTTCTAGAAGAAGAACACATTTGTGTAAACCTGAGAATAATTGCATACTATTCTAGTAATGTCTGTTCTGAAGGAGCCATCACATTTTGACCTAGAGGTTGCTATATTTAGTAAAGTCTGCATGGATCTATCCCAATGCTGAGTTGCTTTAGAAAGAGGCTTTAATATTTCCCAAGACCCATGGTGTAGCAGGTAGTGTTTCAAGTGGTTTGTGGCTGTAGAGCTTGACTTTATCTCCACATCTTTTCTCCATTTTTTTCTCCACTTTAAAGTGAGAGAAGCCAAACGAATGTATCAAAGTGTTACTAACATGAAACCACACCTTTCATTCTTGAAACAAGTATTAAAATGAGCTAAAGTTTGTATTTTATTCTAGCTGAACTCGTTATAGTTGCAGCTGCTTGTATTACTGCAAGAGCCAGCAGTGTGCACTTGCAGCCCAGAAAGCCAACTGTATCCTCGGCTGCATCAAAAGGAGTGTGACCAGCAGGTAGAAGGAGGTGATCCTGCACCTTTACTCTGCTCTTATGAGACCTCACTTGGAGTATTGTGTGCATTTCTGGTGTCCTCAACATAAAAAGGACATGGAACTGTTTGGAACAAATCCAGAGGAGGGCCATGAGGATGATCAGGGGACTGGAGCACCTCCCGTATGAAGACAGGATGAGAGAGTTGAGTCTGTTCAGCCTGGAGAAGAGAAGGCTGTGTGGAGACCTCATAGCAGCCTTCCAGTATCTGAAGGGGGCCTATGTGGATGCTGGGGATGGACTCTTCATTAGGGACTGTAGTGATAGGACAAGGGGTAATGAGTTAAAACCTAAACAGGGGAAGTTTAGATTGAATATAAGGGTGGTGAGGCACTGGAATAGGTTGCCCAAGGAGGTTGTGAATGCTCCATCCCTGGCAGTGTTCAAGGCGAGGTTGGACGAGGCCTTGGGCGATATGGTTTAGAGCGAGGTGTCCCTGCCCATGGCAGGGGGGTTGGAACTTGATGATCTTAAGGTCCTTTCCAACCCTAAATATTGATTCTATGATTCTATGATATCCCACCTCTGTGCCAGTTAAAGCTTTTTTACATTATTGTCATTATGAGAAACATACACAGGTTAAAAGCTCTGAATGCAGGCTGTTTAGAATTGCCTTCATTTGAGAAATTAGTCACTCACTCTGAGGTTTTTGCCCTCTGATCAGCAGGGTAAACACAAGTGACAATGGCCACATCCCAGCACCCATCTTGGCAGGCCCCGAGGTTGAGGAAGAATGCAAGGAGAGTTAGGCATTTAAGTTAAAACATGGATGCCTCCCTGGCATTTGTGATATTGCAGGGAATAAAGATATATTTTTTTTTTTTTGCATTGACAGTACTTTGGAGTATCATATGCTTTTTCTTCCGACACTCAGATGCATTACATCTCCTCCACTTCTTTCCTCTGCCCAACTGGGATTCTGAAAAGTAAAAGTAGCAGGTTAGACTTGGTCAGGGCAGATGTATTCTCTCTGAATTCCTCCTGAGCACAGTTGGTAATTGTGTTCACCTCTGCTGAGTCTATTTCTCTCAGAGTTGATTGCATTATTTTGTTAAGGATGCAAATCGCTTTAAAAATACTGTATACTGAAAGCAACATTCATAAATGTTTGAACACAGCTCCTAGTATTTCTCTTGAATCTCTTTTAAGTCCACTGATTTTCCCAAATACTGAGGCAGCAATATACTTTTTGCTAGGTTTTCTAGCATCTTGGATTTGAATACTAATGCACTGAGAATGTTGTTATAATTTTTCAGTCAGGAAGAGATAGATGTGACAGTTCTTAATGCAGGATCTTTTTGGTACACGAGATTCATGTTTATTTCACCTAATGCATGAAACATAGAACTTCCTAGTAATATGTACTCTGTCCCAAAGAAAGTATATTCTCATCAAAGGGTATTTAATAGTGTGCTCCATGAGACAGTAGTGAAAGGTTTGATGTCCTCATAGGCAAAAGGAAGTAAATTGATGTTCTCATCTGCCTCTCTTAGAAAAGCAAGCGCTCTGTGCCCTCTCGTACACTATGCCAGGGGCAAGAGAAGGTGTTGTGGCCCTCCTTTTTTTCTGTAGTTCACCAGTCTTCATGAGTTCTAGTCATGCACCTGGTTACTAGCTCCTTATTCTACCTTTGCTAGATTGTTTCTTTAAATACTCATAACGTGACAAACATGTCATGACAAAAAAAAAAAGCAAAAACAAACAAAAATTGAACAAAAAAATTAGAAAAAAAAAAGCCACAAAATAAAACACCAGGCATCTGAAGCTTTGACATTCCTGTAGTGATTCTGAGAGTTGTCATGGTTGTTTATGCTTTTTTTATCTTCGTGGATTTTAACGCCTTCTCCGATGGTACTAAGTGGATCTCTTAATTCCCCATCACTTTCCCTCTGAGGTGGTTAATATGCTTTTCATGCTGTAGTATATGGTTTGACTTTTCACTACACTTTTTTCTAATAGCTTGCAGTCAGTAGCTCTTTCTGTGTCTTGTCTTTTGTTGATAGTAGAAATAAATACTTTTTAGTCACTGTGATAGAATTGCAATTAATATCTGTTGAGCAACAGCTACACTTGAATCTTTTAAAAGATCACTGTGTGGTTTTGCCTGTGTTACAATGTGATTTATCAGCTAAGATCAAGAGTATGTTTCTTACTTCTATACTGCATGATTACTTAGGAAGAACTGCCAGAATAGACAAACTTGAATTTACTGGCCTCTGGCTACGGCTAAGTTGGCAACAAAACATATAACACATATGGCAACACCTGTAAGGATGTTAAATATACCACCTGATGGGCTTATGTGCAAGGTCAGCCAATCCAGAAAAATCACTGGCTCTTTACCTCCTTGAGACACCCTCTCTGAATGTAATTTAAAGCTGACCCCTTTGCCTCATCAGTCATTTTTGAAATGGGATCCCCACATCATCTCTCTTCCAATGCCATGTGTGTTTCTTGATTTTTTATCATTTCTATTTTGGGAAAATCATTGAGGATGAAGGGCTAAGAAAAGCCTGGGGAAGGGATGGGTGTTTTGTTGTGCATAAAACCAGGAAAACAGGACAGCAGTGTCAAGCTATTCTGTAGCACTTGACCGGCATATGTTATCTATGGAGCCTACATTTTAGAGTAAAGAATACAGAGCATGGAGCAGGCGAATTACAGGCTCACAGTCATACAGTAGGTCAGTGGCAGAGGATGTAGTCTTCTGGCCCAGGCTGCCTTCACACATACACTTAGCTTTAACTATCAGGGGTGGAATTTTATTGTCAGTGTTGAGTAATTGTATGTAACTTGGAGATGATTTTCTCCATGAAACCATGAAAATATGAAAATTTGCAAAATATTTTATTTTAATGCTGTCATTATTCTTTATTGAGCCATATGAAGGAGCATTTCTCAGTACTTGCTCAAACAATCACAAATTAAACAAGACAATAAAACCATAAAAAAACCCAAATAATATGTATAAGCTTTCAGTGGTGCTTTCAACCTACTGGAACAGTCCATTGAAAGCATTTCACAGCTTATTCTCCATCATGGCTGAGTATTGAATAGCTCAGAACAGTCAGAGGCTTCCACAAAGCTCTGCCCAGGTGAGAGCTGGGCTGTGGAAGCACCGTGATGGGCTCCGCTGGGATACACATGGGGAGTAATCCCAGTATGGTATACCATTCTTCTGGGGGCACCAAGTGGTACTGCTGTAAAGTCCCCACAGAGATCTGAGGATATTTTTCTCCAAAGATTACCTCAGAGAAGGGATGTGACACTTACAGTTAAGCTAATGGAGAATAAACCAAGATGTTTTTAAACCTATTAAAATGTATGAATAATGTGATACATCCAAATAAGTTCAGTTGCATTGTTCAAATTCTCTGTGTATTCACACCCTCAATTTAAATTGTGATTCATATTCTCATTGTAATTAATGTTTTGGCTGTTATGGTAATTGTTAACTGGTGTATTTGAAAATGGCATAAAAGAAATGTTTAGTTAGGGGAAAAAAATATCCTTTGCAGGCTGTGCCTGCGTGGTGCTGGCTGTTGGACCTTCAGTATAGATTGCTACTCATCATCAGGGCAGCTTCTGGAGGTCCTGATTTTCCTCAGCTGGGGTGAGGAAAGACCCTGTATAACATTGTTCCTGCCTACACCTATCTTATCCATAGCAAAAGACTCAGTTTATCTCTAATTAGCCTTCATGATTCACATCATACTCATGGTTTTATAAGCCATTCAGACCTTCAATTTGGTATCGTGAACAAACATGAAAAAGGACAGAAGCTTTCTGGCACTAACAACCAATTCCTCACATAGCTCAAATTGATTTATTCAGGTTAGAAATCAAAGAGAGTTTCATTTCTGCAGCTGGCAGGATAACTAGTAAACTTTAAGACCTTCAAAGACATGAGTAGCTAAAAAAACATACTTCTGTCTGACTTCTGTCTGAATTTTCTGTATTTTATCTACAACATTTACAAGTGACAACTAAGGTCATTATAACGTAAAGAAGAGTGGAATATGTTCCATATTATTTCAGTTGTGTTTATGTCATGCACACAGCAGCATTTTGCATATTGTCACCCTCATTAGCTTTGCCTTCAGAAGCACATAAGCAGCCCTGTTTATGTGGGTATTTCACATAACAGAAAGAGGGATAGGAGCATTAGAGAAAAAATTGTTATTTTAGCTACAGAAATCAGTCATAAGAAGCCTCAGTAGATGAAATAAAATTGCATGTCACCTATTTTTCTAAGGCAATTATCTTGTATGACTTTCCTTTTGGATTTGCTGAAGTCTGGGGAAATGTAGCTAAGAATAAGTGAGAATCGGAAAATAATTTGATATTTTTAAAGAGTTACTGCTCTTTTGTTAGGCAACAAAATAATTGTGAAAAAAAGCTGTACGTTGAAAGAAATCTTTCTATCGTCTGCATAAATGTTTATACTGTTGTATCCTTACATGGCATTTTTTGCCAATGTGATTTTTTTATATTATTATTAGAATTTGTATTTTCTTTCTAAAATAATTATGTAATAGCTTCCACAAGACCAATTTATTGTAAAAATAGATATCTAGGTGTCTAGTACTAAAATTACAAACTAAATACAGAAAGAATGGATTAAAGAAAAACAGACCAATTAGTTTTAGTGCAGGTCATTGTAATGCAACATAAAAAATTAAATACCTGGGTGGAGATGTGGGTAACTGCTCATATCTCTGAGATATTTCTCAGTAACCAAAAGCAAGACTGATTATTCTTCTATGCCAAAACACAGCTTTTTTTTTATGCTTTGATTTTCTGAATCCTTTCAGGATCAGAGACAATTTTTGCTGAATTTCCAGTTGAATCACAAAGCAAGCAAGAGGAAAATCTGTTCTTGTTCATGTCTGGTGTTGGCTTTACAGACCTTTGTGTCTCACTATGTGCCCAAAGACTGCTCTACACCTACAACTGTCACAAGAAAAATTATGTTTACACTGTTCTCACTAGCTTAGATACTCAGGGGTCAAAAGTTTTCAGACCTGTTCAGAAAGGGTATCTGGCTCTATGGATAGGATTCAAATATTTTTATTACTTATCTGATGATACAAATGCTGTTTCAGTTATGCATGCTGATGAAATCACCAAATGATTGAAGGAAGTGCTGACTGTCCTCTGAGATGTGTTTTGTGATTTCAGCCTTTCATGGACAGCCACAAAAACAGGCTCTTAGTCAGGGGGATCAATGTTCTCTATCATTGTGGGCAGATCAATTAGTAATTTTGCTACTAATGCAGATATCAGCATTTTGATGCGGAGAAAGTAACGGAGATAATGACTACTGGCACTTTCTGCTATGTAAACAATAGTGAATGAATGTATTACTTGCAATGCTTAATTTTAATTTAAAAATGCATTAGAGCACTTCTTACCCTGCTCCAATATGAATTCTGACTGAATAGCATCAATAATATACTTTGTCTTTTGTGTATTAATTAATTTTATTCTCTATGCTACAGTATTCAAAAACAGATAGGCATCCTGGGCCTATTCTTCACAAAGTTATGGAGTCTAGTTTTTCAGGCCCTCAGTCTTTCCCAGAGGCCTTGTCTCCTGACAGAGGAACCCAGCCCATCAAGCAACATAGGTAAGCAACTGTCTGTCTGATGGCAGATTTGGCAGGCTGCCAAGGGATGTCATTGAACTGATGGTATGTGTGTGCTGTGAATAGGGGAGCTGGTGAATGGTATGGTACCAGCAGAGCCTCAGCTGACTTATTAAGCAGATGTCCAAGCGTTTTCTTAGCTGCAGACATAAAAGGCAATAACAGTGCTCAACAACTTTATCTGTGATTTGTAAAAGTCCTAGAGGAAGCATTTAAATGGACCATGCAAGCTGTAGACAGAGACAAGTGAATGAAACAACTGTAGTTTGAGAAATCATTAAAAACAAAACTTTCTTTATCAATGTTCATTAAGTTAATGTGTCATTTGCAGCAGAAATGTGTGGTTGCAAATTTTCTCACTGTCACTTTAAACAAATAATACTTGAAATGATTACTGGCTTATTTATAAACACATGGTGGCCCTTGAAAACTAATCTTCCATAAAGTTTGGATGATTGTTTCCAAGAGGAAAGAAAGAGGAACATCACCCATCACTGAATTGCATTTGGATTATAATTCTGCTAGTAGCCTTTTCTGATGAAAAAGAATGCAGATGCTTCATTATGATACTAGAAAACAAACTCATGTCTGGTATAAGCAATAATGTTTTGAAATGGCCGTGATAATAATGTTTGATCTTTGCACACAGAGAGAGAAAAAAGGCTGAGAAAAATCAGTTCAGAATATTTTAGCTGTGTAGTCTGGAGGAGAAGACATTTATTAAAGGATAATTTTTAAAATTACTGAAACAAAAGTCTGAGATTGCATGAAGTTATGAACCAGCTTCTATAGTATTTTGTGCATTTTCATTGGAGTCTCCCAGTCAGCTACATGTTCCTTTTCTTTTGAATAAATTATTTGATTAACCTACTGAAGCATATAAGCCAGGAAGGGACATTTGGATTCTATCTACTTTTACCTTCCTTAATCCTTTAATTTGGCATGAATAAATAATGTCAAATGTTATGTCAGACCCATTTCTTAGGGCTTATTCTCTATGACACAAAGATTCTCAAAATATGCATAATAATTTTACTGAATATAGATGAACTGTGGAACTCCTACCTAGAATTCTTTCCATGGAAGTTTTAGGGAAAATTTTATCTCCATTTCGCCAAAAAGTGAAGTTCAGAAAAAATATGGTAACATTCCCTTAGCTTTAATAACATGGTTGCAGTATCTAAGTTTGAAATGTTTTAGGTGCTTTACCATGACATTACTTAATCTTAAAAATGTGGAAATAAAGACTAAAAATATTTCTTCTGTTTATAAACATTGCATCACTTAAAATAAAGGCTATAATAGAAGAGGAATGACTCTCCAGACTCCCTGGTTTCCACAGTGAAATTAAAGAATAAGCCACACAGGTAACTATTGCAGAATCCCAGATTGCTCGTTTAAAGAAAAAAAAAATAATCAAAACAAACTAAAACAAAGCAAACAAACTAAAACAAAGCAAGCAAATTACAACAAAATGAAAACACACAAAAAAAAACAGTCACCCAACAGTCATCTCTACTTGCAGATGTCAAGTTCCAGACTGTCTTAAGAGTCTTTGCCTCAGAACTGTTTTAAGTTGTGGAATGACTAACTTAATGTATAAAGAATTATTTTGCAGTTTTATAACTTAGGATGTATTATGCAAGGGCCTTGCTTTGTAATACATGCAACAGACTTGAATATCAAACACTTTATAAGGCTAATTTACACACCACGTGATTGCTTCCTAATTCAGTTTCTAAATAGTATTCAGTGTGGCCAAACGGTTAAATGTGGCCAAATGAGGAAACTTATTTTTTTAGTGGGATACATTTTGTTCTAAACATCCCTTCATCTCATTCCAAATCTGATGTGAGCCTAAAAATTGCAGCAGCTCTGCAGGTTCTCATTTTTATGCTGTGAAACTATATTACTAGTTTATTTCTGATTTCTATGGAAAAATTTTCTTTCATTTTCCAGATCTGTTTTCTCTGCTAACATTTTCAAGGGCACTGATGATGATGATCATTTCTTAAAATCAGCAGCTGTATTTTCCAGTTCTTAAAACCAATACAGTTTTGGCCTGGCAGTAAGACTATCTAGGTGGGGAATCATTTGGGATTGCTGAAATTTGACTGACAAAGATCACCTAGTTATTTCACTCAGATTACCAGATAATAGCAGTTTTCTGTCTCTACCAACCTCAGCTGTGTGCAACGAATTACGGCAGAGATAGAATTGAAAATTTAAATCTCCACTGAATGTTACTGCTAAAATATTTCACTTGTATTATGTTCTGTTATTACTGTAGAATGTACATCATCTGCTTGTGTCAACTGGAAAGTAACAAATTTGTTTAACCAGTAAACTTCTTGTAAAGTATGCAGTGTCTCAAAAATTAATCTTGGATTATCTGTTGATTTTAGTTAGAAGAAAAGCCATACTGTCGTAATTTCTTACAGATAGAAACAAATTAGAGTTTTGATAACTATGGGACAAAGTTGTGATCCCATTGAATAGCAGTTTTCTTGGCAATTAGTCATCCTGATTTTCATTCATTGATTCAGTCATAATTGATTTTGTAGGGATTAATTTCAGTGAATACCATGATGAAAGCCAAATGCAGAGGCTTTCAGCCTAGAGCAGTTGTATTGTCTTATAGAAATGACAAAATAGGATAAACTTACTCTAAAATTTAAAATTACTTATGTTTAAATTTTTAATGTAATGTTAACACCATGAAAACCATGGTAAAATGATTTATTATTATTGATTGTTGTTGTTATCATTATTATTATTGTTGTTTAGTAATCATTTTAGTTTTTAGGCTCCCAATATAATTGATTCAGTTTAAATTAAAAGAGTAAATGTAAGTTATTCTGTAAATAAGGCTATTAAATTTCAAAGCAGAACTACTGATAAACTAAAGCAACTAAGAGTGTAAAGGCAGAGGAGGCCTGAAAGGGAGAAAGCATAAGGAATCTGTATTTTCCCAGGGAAAGAGCATAGTTTTCTGTAGAAATTTAATAAAAAGAATGCCTAAAGTAATGTGATGTTGGGAAAGAAATAAACTGTATCACAGAGGGAAAGAAAACATGTTTGAAGTGAACATTTCCAGAAATCGTTGTTAAGAATTACTGGTAATACTGAAAGCAATCAATTGTTCTTGCTACATAAAGGAGTACTATACAGGAAGAAGCAATGCTGATGGTGAGACAGAGGTAATATATGAAGCAGTGAGGGCAATCTTGAATGAATATGTTTAATTTTTCAGCTAGGGTGATTATTTAAGGATGAAGATGGGAAGGATTTGAGGATTTGATTATTTGAGGATGAGAATGGGAATAGAATCAAATGTATGAAAATAGACTACTATAGTCAAAGTGGAAGTAAACTGCAGAAATCAAAGCTCTCAAGATGATCTAGTAGATCTTGATCAAAGAAGTCTGGAAGGAGGACTGGCTCATGAAATTTCAAGTGTGGTAGCAAAATCTGTCAAAAAAGGAGCTGTGCCATGTGAAGATGGAATAGAAAATGTCAGATATTTAGGAAAGGAAAAATTTATCAAAGGAACTGGAGACCTATTACATTGAACTAGACTAGTCAAGGATTTTGGACAAACCCTTTGGGGGGCGGTGGAAGCAAATTCTTTGGGTAGATCTAAAAAAGGGTAAAAAATGTTATGAAGTTTATCAGCAGTGATTTTTGCAACACTACACTGAGAGCTTTTTTTGTATTTGGTGTAGGTGAGATCTCTACACAGCCTCAGTTTGTTTGTTGTCACACATCTAATGCTTTTAGAGAGGGAGAAAGTAGGGAGAGACAGAAGAGCTATAGTGCCAGATACACAGAGGTGGTTAAAAGGTAGAGAGTAAGGAATTACATTGAGGAGGTAAGTGCTTCAGGCCAGAACGCCTGAAGACATTTAGTGCTCCAGAGGAGCACTAAGGGAACTCCAAAAGAATTAGTCAACTTTGGGGACAAATTTTGTTTAATGCTTTTGTGCACAACTTTGGTGTAAAAATTAGTTTAAAAGATAGAGTCAGTACAGATAAGGATCTAGATAAAAAGAATGAATTGAATAACTGAGTTACTTTGTCGAATGGCATAACAGAGATGGATTCCATAACAGATGGATTCCATAACAGAGATGGTCAGGCATTTTGGAACTGATGATAAAATCTAAGCAATGAATGAGGAAGAAAACGTTTCAGTATGTACTAGTTCGTCAAAAGAATAATCAAAGTGATGCAGCTGAGCAAAAGATAAATGGGATGAGAGTAATTATTAATCAAGACATTTTCATCAGAAAGTCAGAACCATTAAAACCACTTCATAAGACACTGTTGTCACTTCATTTGAATATAGTATGAGAATACAGCACTATTATCTCACCTGGTTAAAATGACCTCCTGATTACTATGAACTTAAATCGCAGTATGAGGACTGAATAATCTGTGCTCCATAAGAAAGCATTAGAGAATCTCAGTCTTCGGAAGACTGAAAAGAGTATATGACTGCTGCTTATAAATATATCAGAGGAAGCATAATGAGAAGTAAAAGACCTATTTAAAATGAAAACCTATTTAAAATGGTGGCACATATGTCAAATAAATGTATACTCATCATAAATAATTTTAAACTGAATGGAAGCCTCAAAGTTTTCAATATAAGAACAACTTTCTGGATATTATTGTAGTTTTGGTATTGAGGTTGATCAATACATTACAGGGAATATATGATGAAGTTATGGCAGATGATTAAACTCAGTGCCACTGAGGTACCTTTGAAGGCTCTCTTCCCTTTTCCTATAGTATGTATCTATCTGGTGGAACTGGGATGGTGACCAGATGGTACATGTAGTGCTGAAAGGTTTACGTAGAGTTGCAAAGTCCCCAGTCAGCTCTGGCACATGCCATTCCTGAATACCAGAATATATAAAGGAGCAACAGTGCTCCCATTTCAGAAATCAAGAGGATATATGTAGGTGTAGGCTGGCTGCTAGAAAGCTTCTATTTATGTGAAGGGAGAAGAGAGTCTTGCAAAATGCAGGCTACAGTCCAACCCCATCACCTGGGCTGAGAACCTGACCAGTTGTAATGGTTCATAAACACAAGCTTGGAAGCACAGGTCATTGTGCCATTGTAAATGAGACATTTTCCTAGGCAGTAATCATGTCTTGAGAGCATATATGATTACTTTACAAAGACGTGGAAAAGAGTGGTGTTTTGGATGCTATGGATAAAAAAGGGGTAAAACTATGAAGTTCAGTTTTCATACGCCACAACTTTTTTTGTCATAATAATCTCCTTACAATCTTAGTATTCTTTTAATCACATACAGTTTTGCTGAAGTCCCAAATAATAACTTTCTCCCTTTGTGGAGCCATCTATAACAGGTTTCAACAGAGATGTGCTCACTGTGTCATCTTGTTCCTGTAAGAAGTCTGACAAAAGGACTTTCTAATAGAGTTTTATTATTGTTGCATGGTATTTGTTGAGTGATGCTTATGTTCTCAGGTATAACAGAGCCTTTTTATTAAAACTGGAATTTGTTTGAAAGTCTGAATAGTTGATCTGTACAAATGTTGGCAGTAGATTATCTAACTTAGCCTAAAAATGTGGCTCCTAAGGAACATCAGAAGACACTGTCTCTCTGGCAGCTAGCTCTGTCACTGGGTTATGTATTTACTGTTTCTGTCCTACAAAGACAAAGCCCATGTCTTCAACACTATTTGCATCTTGTGATCAGTAGGTGGTAGAGTATGTAATATAATATGCTTCTGTGTAGTTTTTCAAAAGAGTCTGGTGTAATAAACACCTGAAGAAAAGTACAAAGATCAGTGTCTACAGAGCCATTGTATTGTCTACTCTTTTACATGGGTCTGAATCATGGGTCATCTACCGTCATCACCTGCGACTCCTGGAACGCTTTCATCAGCGCTGCCTCCGTACAATTCTAAACATCCATTGGACCGACTATGTATCTAATGTCACTGTCCTCGAACAGGCAGGGGTCACCAGCATCGAGGCCACATTGCTGAAACTGCAGCTGCGCTGGGCAGGGCACGTCTCTAGAATGAAGGATCACCGCCTCCCCAAGATCGTGTTTTACGGTGAACTTGCCACTGGTAGCCGCAAGAGAGGTGCCCCAAAGAAGAGATACAAGGACTCCCTGAAACAATACCTTAGCCTTGGCCATATTGACTACCATCAGTGGTCCACCTTGGCCTCCAATCGGGAGACTTGGAGGCACACCATACATAATGCCGCTGACTCCTTTGAGAGTTCACGAAGAACTAGTCTCGAGGAGAAGAGACAACGCAGGAAGAATCGTGTCCCACCTGTTCCACCCAAGGAGACCTTCTGCTGTGCTTTTTGTAGCCGGATTTGCCTATCCCACATTGGCCTTCTTAGTCATCAGCGCACTTGTAGTAAGCGTGGGTAAATGCCCTTCCCAAATCTTCGTTCGCGAAGTCAAGCCATGATGATGATGATGATGGTGTAGTTTTTGCAGCTACAGAGTATTTACAATCCGTTTTGTAACTTCCCTTCCTTCTTCAACTTTGCATCTTTCTTTTCATGAATTACAGAAATGAAAAAAGGGGAAAGAATAAGTAAAATAGATATGCAGACAAGCATGGTTATAAGAACTATTTCTGTAGCTCTTTTGCACTTATTAAAGAAGGAAAGGATGTAGATCCCATGCAGTCTTAACATTTTGTCATCCTCTTGTTAATGTTTTTCAAGTTCTGTTGACAAAATTATTTCTGAATGTGTTCATAATGTGATGTATAATCAATTTGGTTTAATAATTGGCTAAAAAGTAGTATGGGAGGATTCTCAGAGTTACTGTGAAATGGCTGAAAGTCTTCTTTTCATGAATGTTGTTAACTGCATTTGGGAGTTGTTTATATGCCTGTGAAGAGAATACTGAACCTGCTGAGACAGAATTTGTTTTTACTTGGTTGCTCAACCTAAAGAAAATTTTCACACAAAACAATTTGTAACACTGAATCCCAAGTTCTTAATTCACTTTAGAGATAGTTGAACTACTTCTTTCAAACCACTAATTCATCAGAACTATATCTCTCACTGGTATATGCATTACTTGTGAACCAGTTCAAGCATATGCTGATTTTTGTTATTCTGGAGTAACTGATTAAGAAATTTTAAAGACATATCTGCTACAGCTTTGCTTATTGGTCCGTTTTATTGAACAGCTCAGTTATGTGGGCTGGGTATTTTTGCCTAGTTAGACTGGAGTACAGGGAGGAAGACACCATAATGGTGGCTGAAGGAGGATAAATTCGCTGAAGAAGTCTGAAAGGCATTGTTTGCCTCAGAGAGAGGAACACTTTATGTGAGCAGTAGAGCAGAAGTCTGAGAGGGACCGTATTAACAGTCTTGGAGGAAAAGTATGCTGACGTTCATAGAAGTTTTGTGAAAAGGGAAAAAACTTTATTGTGCTGCAGTTACTTTTTCATCGAACTTTTTTTAGAAAAAAGTTACTATCTTGTCTTTGGTGCTTCAAGAAATGAGTGTTAACTTGCAGCTGCACTCTGTGTAGATATTTCCTGGTCCTTAATGAATTTGTCTTGCCCATGACCACGCATTATTTTTGTTCATTTTTTTCACTCCGTTTTTTTCTGTCAGAAATGTTGAAAGCATGAGAGCCTCACATTAGCAACAAATTGGTCGCTTAAGCTCTGTTGGTGGTGCAGCTGCTGTGATTGCAAGGAGATACTGGCATGTGCTATATCCCTTCAGTCTAACCAGCCCTTTAGCAGCCTATAGTCTAGTGTTCTCTGTAGCAAGGAATTTCAGTACAAGCTGAAGGAAGTATAGATAAGTCACATGCATCTTTGCTGCAGTTTTTAACAGTGATCTCATGTCTACTTTTACCTGTTGAAATCGTAACAAATGCAGAGCTTTTGCGAATTTGCATATGCATGTTATTAGATGGAAGATCATGTGCTCTCATCCAGCAAGAAAGATGCACAAGGGCGTAAAACCAACCACAATTAAACAATGCCTTTCTAGTTTCAAATACCTGTAATCAGTCTAAAGTCTCTTAAGTTAATCAGTTTGCTGACTTTTGTAGTTCATTGATGAATATACTGCAATCGATAATTAAAAAAAAACCTGAAATTCATTATCCAACAAAAATTATTCATTCAGCTGCATCTTGTAATAATCTCAGGCTCTCCTGGGCAGAAATTGTCAATTCTTTTGTGATGTGGTGGTATTATTTTACAGGATGTGAACTGTAACTCACAACTTCAACTTAGCCTTTAGAATTGAAAGGCCAGGGCTTTTGTTTTTTTAAAGAAGTCCTTTCACAGCCTCCTTAATAGCTAAAGAAAAACCTATTTAAGGTAGCATCAAAAACTCTTGGGGGAGTATTATTGCCACGGTTTGTTGATCTTTTCAATTAAAAAACACCAGGAAAATAAAAGTGTGGGAGAGAACACAGTGGAGATTGCAATGGAACACTGGTAGCCTGAGTAGCAGGATAGGAATTTATTTCTTATGCTTTGACTTTGGGGAAAGAGATTGATTTTAATGGAAATGTACAGTCCAAGAGAATTTGTCCAAGATACTTGGTCCAAGCAGGAATTGCTTTGGGAGTAGCTGTGGCCCTAACTGTAAATAAAGTTTCCATTAGGTATGAAATGCAGATTGCTTTTAAGTCAAGTAATAATAGGAAAAGAGAAGCAAATTTATCTTTTGCATAGCTGAATTTTATCAGAAGTTGAAATTATTCACATAAACAAAAATAATGACTCTTAAATTGATCTACAAAACCTATAGTAAAATATCATTAAAGATGTAACAGAAAATACGGTGATACATTTGCATTTCTGAGATCCAGAAGATGCCAAAGAGAAATAGGAGTAAGTGGAAAATTAATAGCTAGTCACACCATGCAGGACTGTGGCTTGCCAGCAATAGGAATAGGTTATGTCTTGCCTTGATTCTGTGTTCCGTTATTTTTGCATCAGCAACAGCTGAATTTGAAGTTAATTTACCAAAAGTATGGATTCTAGATAACTTTTAATACCTGCATGTAGTGGAAAAAAAAATCCATTCTCCTTCCAAAACACTACAAAAATGTTTACAAAGGCAATTTTCTAAAATAAGGAAACTATTACTTGTTTCTATCATATTCAAGTTTGTATTGTATCTCAGAAACAACACAGCGTTTATCAGTGTATCCAAAGAAGAAAACAATCTGTGTATAAAACATGAAAAAAACAATATAGAAATCGTGTTCAACATGGAGAAAACTTGTCAGATACGTTTTTTTCAAGCTGCATTTCATAAGCTTCACTTAGATTCTTCACTTACATTTTTTTCACAATTTAATGATGTTGTATCAGGAAGCAAGCACCTCACAGACTGATAGATGGTATAATGGGTTCTCAATTTAAGATCTGATTTTGAGCTCAGCTGTAGGTATGATGGAGTTGTACTGTTTGTTTATACTGTCCAAGTCAACTCTATATAGCAGGATTATGGGTACGCATCATGGAGAAAAAGAAGCATCCTTCATCAAGTATGAGGAAACGTTTCCTATACCAGGCAATTATTTTCATTCCTACAAAAGAGGTGATGTATTAAACATGACATAAACATCAGCTAACTATGGATCATAGTATTACATTTCCATAGAGAATTTCTACTGACGTCATAGACTGCCACAGCAAAGTTATAAAAACAGTAATCCATGCATTATTAATCCTTAATCTTTACTTTGCAAAAGTTTACATTTTGCTGTGATAATTTCTACTGTACTCTTGGTGTTGTTCCTAGAAGTCTCTCTTCATGCTGCAGCCCAGGACAAAAAAGTGGGATGCTGCATAGAAATGCCTTTCGGAGGACTCCTCCCTTACCTCGGGGTAGGTTCAATGGAATTACAGGACCAGCATATCAACAGCTAGAAGAGTCAAGGATCACAGACCAGGACACAATACCTTGTCACGGGTAAGTAATTATGTAACTGAAGTGATACAGTTTGTGAGTGGCTGCTGTTATGTGGTTAATATGCTCTGCCATTACAGTCCTTCCAACTTATTATAGTGTACTGTGGATCCAGGGTTTATAGTATTGAAAGCAGAGGAATATTTTCTGTATACTGGCCCTTTGAAGGTAATACGTTCTCATTTGGCTGGCTGTAGTAGGGAGTGATTAGAACAACATTGTTGGCAATGTTACTCTTTATAATGGATTTTTTTCTAGCAGTGATGTGATGTTCTAGTAACTTTTGCATAGCATTTTTTCTTCCATCAGCACTAGGCAAATAAAAAATTCAGATTTTTTTTTTTTATAAATCAATGTACATTGCGAAGTGTGTTTGCTTTAGAGACTGAATAGCAATAACTTCTAAAAGTTTGTCTTTGAAAGCGCACAAAGAATCCAATAACTTTCCTTTTTCACTTCAGCTTATTAGAATATTGAATATGAGCTCTAGCTGTACATAAGGTCTGAATTTCAGAAGTGCTCCTGAGCACCTACAGCTAGCTGCCTTTGAAGTCTTTTGCAATTGCATATCCCTACAGATTTCTGAGGACTTTTCAGAATCACTGCAAACATGTTATATGTAAAACTAGGAGTGATATCTGGAATGGAATAATACAGTTTCATTTGGACACATGTGAGTCACAGCGGAGTGCAGCGAACAGTTACATAGCGAGAAGGCAGCTGTATGTTTTCCGTATCAGAACTGGCTTATGAAGTGCAGATCTAAGTCACCTACATGTTTAATTTTCCCCAGAGAAGGAAGGTCGCTATCCTGTCTGAGCTCCTGGGAGATGACAGTCACAACTGCTCGCCAAGTATAAGTGCTGTTACATGTGTGTGTCATGGGCACACGCGCAGGCATGCACGCATCCCACCTGTGCCTCCCTCACCGTGCTTTCCAACCTGCAATGAGACTGCCCAATCTGGGGAACAGTCTGAGAGAGGGACTTGGTTCACTAAATATTTTGTAGCTGATCTACTGAACAAAGTTGGCATCAGTAATTAGGAAAGACAGACCATGAACAGAGCTTACCTGTGAAGGGAGAAAGCAAAGCTGCAAAAGGTTTATGTGTCTGGTGACCTCTTTAAAAAGTACAAATTTGTCTCATACTTTTTTCCTTTTATTATTTGCTTCTTATAAGGAAATTTTGTTAGTAATCCTTGCAGTAAGTATATATGATAATGTGTGTATAATTCATTACAAAAATTGTGACTCCAAATGCAACCCTTCCTGAAAGGGACAGGCTAAGAGCCTTCCCTCTTTAATAGCAGCATCTTGTAGCATAGGCTCTGGAGAGTGATGCAGCCCCTTCCTAGGTTAAGAAGTGAGGTAACAAATGTCAAAGCTGTCTTGTGGGTGGCTGCATTTTCTCTTCTCTAGGAAATCAGTGTGTGATATGACAAGCATCATCTTGTAGTGGCAGATATTTTAAATCTGCAGGTCTGCAGGAGGTTGATATTTGGACCAGACTGTTACCCCTTCTGGCCTCAATCCACTCAAGCACTTCATCCATATTTTGTGTGCTAGGGGTGTCTGTCGAATTAGATCTTCCTAATATTGACTCTAACAACTGGATCTCTCTCTGATGGAGTCCTGTGAGTGCATCAACAGGTGGTGTTGTGACAGAGTCACAGCAGTCTGTGCATATCACAAACATGACACCAAAAGCCTTCAACTGATATCTATGGAAATTAATTTTTTTTAAATATCAGTGTTAGGCATGAAATTAAAAACAATTATTTGATCTTATTTTATTACAGTGTTTTACTGATTTTTTTTATGAAAATTGAGTCTTTGAATAATGTAACAAAACTTTTTGCAAGTTATTTTGTGTTGCAGCAATGAAGTAATCTCTTCAGCTAGAATATAAGTATGCATCTTATTTCTGAACAAATGTAAAAAACGATTCACTAATTGTACTTCATGCGGAATTCTTCTAATTTAGGAAGAGGTTTCCCCAAGATCACATGGCTTTTCATCTTCTAAATATCTGCTAGTTTTATAGTGTTTATATCCTCACTAGATTTCCAGCCCAAATTAAAAGTTCCCTTGTCCCCTGCAGAACTTACACTACTTCCTTTCTTTTCCCTTTTCACATCCATCTTTTCCTATAGGGATGCACAGATCAATTTTTTTTATCTTTCTAATTGTTTGACCCTTCTGAAGTTTGTCCAGTAGCAGTTTAATCAGATTTTGTATGTTTACATTTGATACAAAAGAGGCTAATTTACCTGAGTAGTTTTTGTCTGGACTGTAAAAGGGCTCCTCTTCCCATCCCACATTGAGGAGAAAGCTTTTGCTGCCTTCCACAAGCAGCAGACCTCATGATTTGCAACAGGATCTGATATTTGCAGAGTTTGAGTCAAAGACAGCTAATATCAGTTATTTAATCAGTATGCTACTTGAAGGAGTAGAAAAACCTGCCTGAAATGAGGAGCCTGAAGAAAACAAACCATCTCCATGCCAGTCACATCTCAGAGACTGATCTGAGTCCCTGAGGGTGTCACAAGTTTACATGCAGTGGTTTGATCGCATGCTATCAGTGAGAGCTGTTCGTATGGCACAGTATGAAGTGTTGGAAGTAATGCCTTATAGCCTGTGAGTGTGTACACACACGTATATAAATGTGCTTATGTATATAAAAGCCAATGTGTCATACCTACAGGTAGAAAATGGGGTGCATATATATAGGTGTATGTGCTTACAAGGCTGAATCAAAGTCCAGTAATGCCACTAGAATGACTTCTGTTCATTTTAAATGGGCCTTGTTGTCAGGGTCTTGTACTGGACATCTATAGGAATACATCATATAGCAAAGTCACTGGTACTCTGCTAAACAAAAAAAAGCATTTTATTTTTTTAGTTACAATCTCTTCTGTCTCTCTTTATATCTGTTTTAATGGGGCAGTAAAATTATTTCCTCTTTTCAGTGTCATTCTTTATTTTAGACTCGTAAACACTGTATAACAATTACTGTTGCATATTTATAAATGTTTGAGTTTTTCTTTTTTGCTTGGTTTTAAGGAAAAGGTGGAGAGAAAGCTGCACTTTGAAATACGTGCTTATGAATGAATTTATTCAGACAAAACAATTTTTCACATAAAACCCCAGATATTATTCTTAGGAGGAACTATTGTTCTAGTAACGTTACTTATAGGAAAATGTAATTAATATTGTGCAATTATAGGTCTAAGTCTCCGTCTATTGAAAACAGCAGCAGTCTTGTGTCACAAGTAGAAGTATGTTTATAATTGACCAAAAGCAAACTCTTCCATGGCTTAGGTGTAATATCCCTGCTAGTTTAATACCTTGCCTGTTGCATGAAGTGTATGTGCTTTAATTCAACCTCAGTCCTTTGAAAGCCTTGTAAGCACAGGGCAGAAACATGTAATTGTGGCATACAACTGGTGATTCTATCTGTACTTCAAGAAATAATATGTAAATACGCCAGGCATTGCATTACATATTATTGTTGCTGTCAATTTGTGTTCAAAATACCAAGAACAATTGAATCTCTATTATGGAATTGGCAAATGTTACTATTTTCTCACCAAACCCATTTTAATTTAGTCTTTTCTTGGTTTTGCTTATATATCATCCATATAATACATCCATTGCATGTGGAATTCATGAAAAACATTCCCTTCCTTTGTTTTCAGGGTGCAGCCCAGAATATATTTAGGGCCTGAATTACCAAAAAAGGGAATAATGCAACTGATGCGATCTCTCCAGCTATAGTCGTTTGAATTATATAATAAGCAAAGGAAACAAGAATGGGCACAACCCAAAGGTCTGCATTGTTTTGTTTTCATTTATTTTTTTTAATTATCCTCCCTTGGGAATAATATCCATGATCAGTATTTCATTCATACTGATTGTTGAAAACTGTTCTAAAAAGACCCTCCATAAATGGCTACATGTGTGTTTAAGCAGATTTCAAACGCCATTAACCAAAAGCTGAGTCTTAGCTGGTTCAGATGTAGAACATAAACACAGCTATATAGCATGTACAAGAAGTTCTAGCATGCATCTGAAAAAGCCACTTGCTATATTATTCCCCTGGGTTTCAATTCCCAAACCAGTATGTCTTTCCATCAGATAGCAGCAAAAAGAGCAACACCTCTTCCTTACTGCAGCACTCCCAGCTGCATTTTCTGCTCTTCTGGGGACACCTGGAGAGTTTTCATATAGGGGCTGTACAGAACTGCATGCATGTACGTGTACAGGTTATGTGTCAAACAGTTGTACAAACACAGTGCCACCATAGATGAGTTAATAACAAGTCAGTGGCGCTCTGCTGGAAATGAGCCTAAAGATATCTCCTCCTCTCTCCTGTCTGACAGCCTGCCAGGAGGATAAGGCCAAATGAAGCCGTTCCAGTTAATTAGTGTTGTGAGCTAATATTGGACTATGGCTGTTACATTCAATTCACTTTCTCTTCCTTAGTTCTTTTTCTGCTAATGCCAAAAAGCAGCAAGGCACAGATGAATAGGAGGATATCCCTAGTGAAGTCCAGCAGGCTTAAGCAGCTTTCAGAAAAATACCCTTCAAGTCATAGCTCAAAGCACCTGTTTCCACACCAGATCTAAATGTTGCTTCCTCGTCCGTGGACAAAACATGCTAGACTTCACCATTAGCTTGCCTTATTAAATAGTGATATGATCACAAAGCTCATTATAAATAAAATACGTTCCGGTACTGAGGTGATGTCTGTGGTCCCTGGCAATCATGACTAACTCTTAGAGCACCATATTTCTTGTAATGCTGCTTCTCAGATGGGAATTTTTTTTTTTGTCATTGTTTCCTTTGGTTTATATTCAGTATACTTTCCATTTCTGGTTTTTAAGTATATCATGTAAAACTCTTTCCAATCAGAGTAATGAATTTGATTTTGAAAAAAATCAGAAATGTTGATAAAAATTCATGTAAGTTGCTCATAATAAGTAAAAAATCATGCTATGATATTTATTAATGGAGGATAAAGATCTTATTTATTTTTTTTAGCACAGGATTACGATATCAGGCAAACACAGACATTTGCTCAAGCCAAATGTATTAACTCTATTTCCAGATGAGATCCAAGAAAAGAAATTAGGCCAACATTAGGAGTATGGACTGTTGAAAAAAATGACATGTTTTTAGAGGTACGCTGCACTTAGATGCTCTGCTTGCTTGAAGGGGAGCACATACAATCATTTTTATACACATAAGGACTACACAGCCATGTTTTGTTTAAAGTTCCATTTTTCCTGCACCTTTTTAAAGTGTTCTGCTTAAAGTAAGAATTTGACATTGAGAGTTCTGAACTCATCAATGAAAGCAAAGAAAGCATCAATCCATTTCCCCAGTTAGGAGCATAGGAATGGAATTTCAAATATAAAGTCAAAGAAAAATAATAATACAGTACAACTTCTGAAATCTTTTAAAAAGGAATCATCTTTTTTCTCATATACTGGTGGGCAAAATAAGACTGGGAGGAAAGCAATGGTTTGCCACCAGCAGATCTGAGAATCAAAGCCAGGTCTCGAGAGTCTGTAGTTTTCCCCAGGGCCATACTACTACCAAGTGTTCCTAGTGTGAGAAAAAAATGACATGTAGCTTTTCAGCACAGTTCACTGAATCTTAGTTTTCCTGCTGCTTGTTGCATCTGACCATTTGATGTATAACAAAACCTTCTTTTTACTCTTTCCAGGTATTCATCCAGTGGTTTAAAAACTCCTCAGAATACTCCAATAAATATGCAACTGCCTTCAAGAGAGACAACCCCTTATTTTAATAACATGGATCAGAAGGACTTGGTCGGCTATTCATCTTCAAGGGCCAACTCTGTTCCCATCATCCCGTCTGTGGGCTTGGACGAAGCCTGCATGCAAATGCAAAATGTTTCTGAAGTAACAGGCATCAAGTGGTGCAAAAACTCCTATTCAGCTGAACTTGTCAATGTGAGTTCCCCAGTCAGTAATTGTCTTATAGCAGAACAACACGAAGTGAAAATATTGCTAGAAACTGTGCAGGAGCAGATTCGAATTCTGACGGACGCAAGGCGGTCGGAGGACTATGAACTGGCAAGAGTAGAAGCAGAGAACAGCACGAGTGAAAACACGGCCTTTCTGCCCATGAGCCCCGTGGCCAAGTCAGAGCAAGAGGCACAATTTGTCTTAAAAAGTGAAACGCAAAGGGACTCGGTATTGACCAAGTGACTTTGTGTGGGGATTTTGGGACGGGAAACAATATCTGTGCATTTGATGCTTTGTTAAACAGGAAGGGAGGAAATTAAGTACAAATTATTTATATGCATTAATTTAAGAGCATCTACTTAGAAGAAACCAAATAGTCAATCGCCCTCATATCATAGTGTTTTTTAACAAAATATTTTTTTAAGGGAAAAGTTCCAGGAGGGATGGCGTGTGCATCAGGTGCTTTCTAGGCAGGATTACACATAAAGTTTTGGTTACAGAGCATTTTACCATGGTCCTCTTTAGCTGTCCAAAGGCTTAGGCTATGCATCCTCTTTCTTTCAGTAAAGGCCAAGACCATTCTTAGATTTATTTCTGGTTTCAGGGCAGCGCTGCAGTCAGCTGCTGCCCAGGGACTCAGACAGTGGGGAGCAAGTCCCATGACCCCACCACAGACCCAGTACCCTCTCCCCCTCTCCTCTTGGTTCCAGGTTCACACCATGGCACGCAGACATCTACTTCTGAGGTCTGGTACCTACTGTGGAATGACATTAAATCCCTAAATTGAGTCAGACACTTAACCTTCAACCTTACTTTAATGTGTCACTAAGCCCAAGAAAGTCAATAGAAACATTTAGGAGCTGTGTCTTCATCCAAGTGTGGAGTGGGATCGGGCTCTGTATTGGTATGATATATAATATAGGGTAGAGATTCAGTGGTCAGGAGCCTGCAGGTGCTCCATTTTCTGAGCTTTGACTGTCAGAGCAGCCTTAGTGGAGAGTGAGGAAAAACAAAAAGTCCAAAAGCATTTATTATGGCAGGTTTGGGTTTTTTTGAGTGGGGACATAAGTTTTGTTGTTCATTAATAACCCCTCAACATTTCTAAACTGGTATATTTTGAAGGCATTTGTAAGCTCTCAAGGAGCACTTCTGAGTGTGTGTGTATTTTTTTAACTCATTTTTTATTACGGGTTGTTCAGAGAAGAGTCAGAAAGATCCAGTATGATCAAACTTCAGCTGATAAGTGTCCACACTGCCCTAAATTGTTCCCACTTTCAGTTCTTCAATCACTTCAATTAATCATGGCTTAGGCTTGTGAACTTTAAAGCTTCAACCCTGCAGATGGTTCTGTATGGGCAGGCCCACAAGCATGCACAGATATGATTCTAATTGAGCTATATAAGAGCAGATGGTTTCCACCAAATCACTCCCTGCAGGGAATCAAGGCCTTGGAGAAGAATTGTAATTTCCTGGTTGCCATATCCCAATCACATTATAAGCATTTTTTTGCATTTACTTTCTGTTGAGTTCCTCTTCCCGCCATAAATTGTAACACAATATGCCAATAATACAAGGAACTGGATTCAGTGGCATACACATTACTGTTTTTATTAGTGTTAAAATATCTCCTTATTCATGGGGAAAAGTAAAATCAGCTATAATAAATAATTGCTAAATAGCCTTCTGTTCATGTCAAAAAATTGATTAAAAAACAAACTACAGTATATACAGAATGTAATAAGATACTCCTTTGCAACAAATTAATTGTTAAATTTTTATGTGGCCCAGACTTTCCAGTTCACAAGTCTCAAGACTTCCCAAAATAGCACAATCAATCATGCAGTGCTGTTGTATGTTGAGTCAGAATAAAGCAATATTTTAACTTCTGTCAAGTAAATTTGCAAAAGAAATGCTGAAGGTGTATGTCTTTTTTTTTTTTTTTTTTTTGTTATGGCAGTAAAAAAAATTGCTATTCACAGTCTTCATTCACCAAGTCTTATTTTGGGTTTCTTTTGCCTTTTTGTTTTTAGTTTTGGCTTGGTTTTTTAAGATAAAGTTGATGAAATTGTCTTGTATACAGAACTTTCTATGCTGTAACTTTTGCTGTGTATTTTCAATAAAATTATATTTGAGGGCAAACTATGCTTTATGCCCCAGGATGGAGCATGCCTCGTTTGGAATGCATTCTTCAAAGACACAGGGCTTTTGCTATAGCAGTAATGTGCAATAACCATGAGGAGTGGTCTCACCCTGACAGGTTTCTGCAATATGTTGTGGCTGGGCACAGACTCACCATGAATGAGCTGAGCTAACTGCGCTGGGTATGGCCCCAAGCCCACACCAAATAAACCTTGTGAGAAAACAGGTGTTTTAGGTAGGCTCAGCTTCACATCCCTACAAATGACTTTTCTGTCAATATCCCACCAGCTCAGGACGTGAGCAAAGTGAGGTTGCCTCTGCCCATAAGCCCTGTGAATACACCTGTAATATAAAAACTGGCTACTATATAAAGCTCTGATTCAATAATCTATGAAGTGTGATCACAGTTAATTAATTGTTCACACTTAGTAATTAATTTCATCAAGAGATGGTCTGTCTGCAATAAAGTGCAGAATCCTGCCCAGATAGGTATTTCAAAATTAAATCTTTTCAATCCAGATGTAAGGCCTTCTCACCCCCATATCCTACCAAACTCTGCAAATTCACCTTTGGCAACATATTGTAAATACACAGCAAAATTTCTGTTCAAAAAAGAACCATATCATAAGCAATGCCTTTATGGAGAGAATGTGTTCACTCAGCACTCCTGAAAGGCCCAGAAAGAGGGGAAGAGCAATGTATTTAGGAGAATGAAATGTTTGACTGAATGATTGATCTTAAAATGGTAAGGATATCTTCAGTTCATGTTAGAGATGCGATCTTGTATTCAGCAAAGGATGTGTGACTGTTATATGTTAACTGTTCTATTCAGTTTTCAGCATGTTTGAATAGAGAGACATTAATATTAACCATATGTCAGACTAGTGTATTATTTGTTAAGAGTATCGCTTCAGATCCTATTGAAACTGTCATTGTTTGCAGAGGAAAAGAAAAAGGTTTGAAAACATCAAACTAGATAGCCTTAATGTCCTTTGTGTGTTTCTCTAATGCACCAGTTTTTCTCCATGGACCTTTCGATTTTACAGTGAATGGGACAAAATTTTCCCTGAAGTCTGACAATTAACTATGTAGAGGACACAACGGAAAGTTGTACCAAAATAACCAAAGTCATAGGCCGAATTTTGCATTATTTCTGACCTCTGTGATCACACTGAACTCAGTTGATTCAGAAGGGATGTGAGTCAGTGTAGTTCATTCCTAGAATTACATCTGTTCCTATCCTTAGAAACAGACTGTAATCCCTCTAAAAGAGTCTCTGAACTCAGTCATTTACCTGTAATGTAATTAAAAATTATATCTGACCTGTGGAGTTCCAAGTGTAGTGAAAATTCACACATGCAGCATTACACTCGAGTAAACTGGAAGAACAGCTAACAAAATAAATTGAACTTCCTCTGAACTGAACAGAGAAAGCCTGTGTCTCTTCAGCATGATACTGTGGAGCAGAATTATGAGAGAAATGTATATCCAGATTTTTTTTCTTCTGTGTAGAATTTCTTCAAAATAACCCCCCCAAAAATCCACTAGAATGGTCTCAACATTTGAAATAGGAAATGTAGGTGAGTATGGGCCCATTTCATAGCATTAACCACTGGAAAATTCTTCAGTACACCCATGACACAAAACTGGAATGTTCTAATTGTTGCACGATTAAATTTTGATCAACAAATGCATCCATGGAAAAAGAGCTTTTCACAATGCTTTTGGTGTCTAGCCACGCTCCCAGCTGATGTAGTCAATGTAGCAGTTTATATTAAGAGAGGATCACATCCAAAATCTCTTATACTCAATGTTCAGTTAAGTGCCACAAGGTTTAGTAGCCTTCTGCATGGTGTAAGGACTTCCACACTGATTTATGGAGCTACATTCATTTTGCTTATGGAAATCATATTTGTGTCGCCCTCACTAGAACACGATGCAAGATTTGCTGCCCAAATGATTAGTTTGTCAGGTCAGTCTTTTACAAGGGCTGAATATCAGACCAGGTTCTAAAAACCATGAACTTCCCAGCAAGTGGCTAATTCCAGTTTTATTAATTAAAATCCTACAGCTTCAGGTTTAAATTCTGAAAAAACTATGAGATGATGGCATGTGCTCATGACCATGCATGTGCTAGATATGTTCCTGAATCAATTGTTCAATCATAAGATCATAAGAAGATGATTCATGTCCACGTCTCACATAAGGAGAGAGAGAATCTGGATGCCTCTTCCCGATTCATCCCCAGCAAGGGCCACTTCTGCGCTGTCCTATGCCTGCTTTGTTTTTTTATGAAATCACTGAATTTCTAATGGTTGAGCACCTTTACTCATGTTCAATTTTACCTTGCCCTCAGTTTTTGCTATAATTTATAGCCTAAAGTTTGGGACATTGGGACTGTCCGCTGAGTAAATTTAAGGCCTAAAACATTCAAAATTTTTTGCGTGTACATTTATCTGCTTTTGGTAGACCTTATGGGAAATCTTTCCCTTGAAGAAACATTTATGCAGCCTGTGCTACAAGGCATTTTCCTGCCACTCCTGCTGGTATCAGCATTTCCAGCCTCTGAGTGAGATGCTCTCTTCAGGTTCTCCTGGGCACTGCGACCAGAAGCCTCTGAATTCTTTCAGAGTACCAATGACCAGAAGTCATCTGAAGTGTCCTGAGCCATAGTTATATATCAGAACACTTCTGCCTATTAATAGTAAAATGTCTCCAAAGTTTAAGACCTTTCATATGCATTGCATTGTTATATAAAAAATATAATGCCAAAGTTTATGAAATTAAAATTATATAGTAAATATTATTGATTTTATCAATGTCTTGCTTTGAAGGAATATGAAGTGAGAGCTCTCAGTTTTGTAAATATTTGGAAACTAAAATACAAATAATAATAAAAAATAATACAAAGAATAATTACTATTGTAAAATACAAAAGATAGTTCCTTGCTTTCTCTGAAATAATCAGTAGTAGCTAAAGGTTATCGAGATGCATTAGGGAAATGAAAGAAGACACAGTGAGGGCATTTTATAAGTCATGTCAGTAATATGACTAAGATGGTGGGTTTTAAGTAATTCAGGCTTAGAGTTTCCCTTGCTTGAAAATACATTAAGATAATGTTTCTTTCATAATATAAAGCTTACTTCTATACAGAGCTGAAACACGTATCACCTACCTTAGCATAAGCAGAACAGAAACGCAGTTTAGGTTTCACTATGACTTTCTGACTCAAGCATTAATCTCACTTGCTTCAGATTATCTCTGATTTCTTCCAGGAAAGAATAAATGAGTACCCAAAAAACCAAGAAAATAAATATGAATAATTGATGACTTCCTCCTCCCCTCCAAAATCTACCAATTAATGCTGCGGATATTGAATATCATAGAAATATCTGAGATTTCGACCTTGATGGGGAAAACAGCAGCTAGGAGAATTACCACCCCCACCACCCCAGCAAGATGCACACTGTGGATTTCTGGAGAAGAGGGTAGGGAGCTTTGCCTGGCTCTCACAGAGGGTAGAACCTCCTGGCTATGGCACAGCTTTTCCATGGGTGAGGAGGGATAGATTTTGAGTTGGACCAGGAGATGTCATCTGAGAAACTTGCCTTACCTTTATTTCTTTCTCAGATCTCTGTCAAGTCAGTGAAACCATGGTCATCAGCGCTAGTTTATTTTGTAAGTTAGTGATTTCCAAATTCTGGGATCCTTTGAAGTGCTGAATTTTGGAAGAAGAGACATCTAAAAAAAAAAAGAAAAGTCAACAAAACCCCCCCAAAAATGTCTTCTGTAAATTTTTTTAACCATCTTTACCTGAAATGCTTACATTACTTTAACTATTTTTTTTTTAAATTAGGTGTTACAAATATAAACTCCAAACATATATATTTACATCATGATAACAGGACATGGTTAAGATCTGTGTGTCATGTTTCTCTTCTGATCTAGTTGAAGATGTCCCTGCTCATCTCAGGGGTGTTGGACTAGATGACCTTCAAAAGTCCCCTCCAACCGAAACCATTCTAACCATTCCCTGAAAAACATGTTCAAGTTACTTCTGTTATTTTTTGGATCGTTTATAAAATGGTGGAGATTTCTGTGCACATCAGTGGCCACTTTGAGTTTTACATGGAAAGGTAAACAAATTTGCAAACAAAAAATGGACTACATAAAACTTCCATGTCAGACTCTAGTGGTGTACAAGTGGAGGCTGTTTCACTGAAATCATAGTTATTGTGAAGGAAATGAGGCTTCCAGAGGAAGATATTTATGGTGGCTCAGCAGTTGAGCTGACTGAAATAAAACCCAGGTTTCCACCTCCACAGTGCTAACCTATGCTTCTTTCTAATGCTGGCCCACCCCAAGCTGCAAGGTGTCTGAAGCTCCACCACTAGTGACTGTATCAAAAGGCAGGTGTCAGCACTGACTTCTGCAAAAATTCCTCTTATTAAATCAAAATGAAATAATATGAACTAAAAATCGATGGAACTGATTCTCAATTGCTGTCAGGTCATAGTGAGCACTAGCAATGGTGCTAATTTACTGTTTCTGAGGCTGTGGCTCATGATTTGACGTGACCCATGAGTTTCCATTGTCCGTGCTGGAGCTATCTGAGCAGAAATTTCTCTGCCCATCAGGGTAACATTATTAAAGCAGTTTTATCCCAACTTACCTCATTTTCTGCACTTCACTGTGTGTTGTCCTTGATTATTGTAGAGGTAAAGCTGCTTCCAAAGTCTGCTTTAAGTGCCACCTCATATCTGTCAGAGTAACTGGTTGTGATCACTCAGCTTCAGTTTTAACAGTGGTGTAAGGTCCTCCAACTCTACAGATCAGATCTGGGTTTTGCAGTCCAAAATCATGTATATGTCGTAGTATCATAGAATGGTTTGGATTGGAAGGGACCTTAAAGATCATTTAGTTCCAGCCCCTCTGCCACAGGCAGGGACACCTTCCACTAGACCAGGTTGCTCAAAGCCCCATGGAGCCTGGCCTTGAATACATACAGGGATGGGGCATCTCAGCAACCTGTTCCAGTACCTCACCACCCTCATAGTGGTGGAATATGTACAAGCAAAACTGTCCATACTTGTTCTGCACAATTGTATGCATTCAGATCTAAGCATGGATCAGCTGCCAGGCTGATCTTTCACTGTTTTATTTAACAAAGCTATATTTTAAATATAATTTGCTATGCTGCTTCTCTGTATGTTGTATAGAGAAGCAACGAAGGCAAGTTCAGCATGTCTGCATTTTCTGCTCAGCTAATAATAGTAGGTTTGTTGTCTTTTTTTTTTTTTTTTTTTATCAAAGCAGCTTAGGAAACAAAGTTGTTAAAATTCTGACCTCAGAGGAAAAACTGGTACCCTGGCAGGGGAAGGTTATTCTGAGCAGATACTTATCTAGGCTGTCTTTCTTCCTAAGCAACCTTTCTTCCAAGAGTCAGTGTACCTAAAACACTTAAAACATAAGCAAAGCTAAGGCAAAACATGGACTCTGCCTTCTTTGCAAAGGGGTCAGGGGCACAAGTAAAGGCTAATTACCAAAAACCTTTCTAGCTAGTTCCACTAGTATTTGCACAGACTGGTAATACTAAAATGACTGCGTATGATTTGGTCACATTTATTTGCAGGCTGTGATGTATTTAAACTTATAGCCTGCTTTAAATTGTCGGTGATTTGCAGTATCTCAGGATGGAGTTTCAGAGTGCTCAAGATGGCATTTACCACTCTCCTTAACCTCCATCCCAGTTTCATTTGACTAAAGGACATTTCTATTACATGGGTAGAAGCGACACCGCATTGCTGGAGGCGTGAGTGTCACATTAAGCCCCGCATAGCTTTTTGGTGAGCAAGGCAAAACACTCCTTCTTTCAACCTTGCAGGCAGTACTCTGGGCTGTGAGGGAGCATACTGTAGGCTCAGCCCCTTTGTCAGGCAAGAAATCAGGTTTCACAGTAGGGGAGGCCTCCTAAGCTAAAAATGAAAAGCTGCCTCAAGATTTGAGATAAAAGGGTGACTTAGAAAAAAACCAACTAGAAATCACAGTCCTTTAAAAACAGTTGTGGTTTTTATTTCAATTTCTCCAGTAAGTAGTTGAGTAGGTTTTTTTTAAAATTGACACTTAGCTCAATTTAAAGCTGTCTCTAGACATTTTCAGAGAATAAAGAGAGCACATCCCAGTGCAAATGCCTACACTCTAGGAAGGCGCTATAGTTCATAGACAACATTCCATCCTTGTGGGTAGGATGTGGGCATCAGTGCTTTGCCAGTCTTCCTTAATTTGTTGACAAGACCCAGCAGCGCCCTGCACTCCTCACTCACTGGCTGCCGATGAGACCTGCAGTAAATCCCCTACTAAAAACACTTAAAAATGAAACAAAGATGAAGGAAATGTGGCTTGTTCACTGTGAATATCCAGTTAGAATAGTTGGAATAACTGCAAGAGAAACATTTGCCTTTGCAAAATGATTTATTGGTTAATAGTCTTTCAGTCCTCACTATTTAGTCAAACAAGGACCATAAGATTTCCAGGTATAAAAGTCGAATGATTGGTTCCTGGATCTAGTTGTAATGGTCACAATTCTGATATTTCAGACTTTTTGCTGAGCACTGATCAAGTAGAGTCAATTGGGCTTCATTCAAATAGATGAACTTGTAGAGTTACACCTGATTTCCTTTATTGATCACTAGATTCTTTCCATATCATGTAAAATTATGTTTACTTTAAAACTGATCTGTAGATATGAATGGAACAGCATCTAATGTGGACTTGAAGTTTGAACCCTCTCAATGCATAGGGTGAGTCTTGTGAAATCTTCATTTTAGCAGCTGAAAGTCTTGAACCATTCACTGAAAGACAATTATTTGATTTCAACAAAATTGATTCTGCTGTTAATAAAGTCACTGATAAACACTTGAGCTGGATTTGGGGCTTCTGAATAAAATATATAGATATAGATATGTAAAGCTACATACACAAACTTCTTTTAGAACACAGAAATGAATGGTCCAACTTAAAGTTTATTAATCTAAATAGCTGGAGAGAATATCCACTTAACCACATAGCCTAAACACACTGAAGAAGGGGGGAAAGGTGTTTATTTTCAACTGTATTTATTTTTTCACTGGTACAAACAGAAATAAAAACAGAAGAAAAATAATCATAGTGCCTATGACAAAGGTTGTTTTTCAAGGGGTGTGCAATGTGTACCACGATTATTTTAACTGCAAATGGAAGCCACTTTTAGACTGAGTGTGGTTGAAAGGAAATGACCTTAGAAAAAGTGTCACCCAGCATCCCAGGAAATGTTTGGGTTTGGTATGCTTGGCCTTCATTTTTGTGGAGCTGTACATTCCTGTCCATGGGTTTAAAGGATAAAAAAAAAGAACTGATTTCAGAGTCAATGTTATTTTGACTCGTTCTTGTACTCCCAACACCCAGGGTCGTTTACCATAGGAGTGAGTGAAGCTGAACAGTATAATTTTTCTGTTTAGTGTCACAAATGAGTTTTATTGTTTTACTGAATTCAGTCTTTTTTCTCTGCTTTCGTGGTGTGCTCCCGCTGTTGCCAGACATCTCTCTCTTAAAGCAGAAGTTTCATTTGTTAGCAAAGCCACAAAAAGGCCCCTCCCAGAGCCACCCAGCTGGGGTAGCTGCATGGAAAACAGTGCCGCCTTGCAGCCTTGCAGTTCCTTGTGTGGATGACCCTCCCCTTCCCCCTGTTCCCAGGAATGTGGTTTTCATGTGCATCCCCAGCGGTTTGTGCTGAATCGATCCATGCTGAGCTTATTCATCATCCAACCCCCAGAGACACTCTCTGCGTTCCTCCAAAAACATCTCTAGTTGATGCCAGGTAGCCCCCAGGTGAAGCCTCAAGTCACTGCAGTTCCCTGCCACTGCTGACTCTGCTCACAGTGTGCTGAGCACATTAAATCTCAGCTGAGACCCAGCCTGCCCCCAGGCATGGGAAAGAGGGTGTAGGGATAGGATCAGGAGAGCAGCAGGTACTCCACAGCTTTGCTCTGCTTCAGTCAGGTTCTCCCAGTACACCCTCTGGGATGTCCTCCCGCCCCTTTCCCTCCTAGGTTCACTCCTGGCCACTGCCTTGCATATTCCCACTTTCCCGGCTAACTTGGGCTTTTTATGCTAGCTTGGAAGAGCTGTCACTTGGCTTCTACTTATACATGCTTTTTGCTTGAGATCCGCCTTACTTTAATAACGCTAGCCCAAGTGCTCATGAACATGCCAATGTTACAAAATTGCAGAAAAATATTATATATTCCAAAATATAATAATATTCCAAAGCTGCTCTTCCAGGCATCTCACTCCCTGGGCACAGGCACCTGAATGAGTTTGATGCTGAAACTTACTGGTCTGATAAGAATTATCCTTTTGCCCAGGACTAGGGACAGGTTTGAGTGGGAGTATAACACTCCCCCAGCTAATGATCCTACCCACAGGCAACCCACACACCTGTATTAGATGGAGCTGTTCACCTGGTTCACAGCCACTGAGGATACCATTTGTCTCTCTAGCAGCAGCCACCCATTCAGGTCTTTTTGCCTTGTGTGCCTGCACTAGAAGGGTTCTATCCTGATGAGAGGAAGCAGTTCTGGAGGTATGGCTCTAGCAGGAGGTTTGCTTCTTAAATGTGTCATGTCTGATTAAATGTTTGCTTGAGGCAATGCTTTTGTTGTTGTTGCTGTTGTTTGGGTAGGTTTTTTCTCCCTCCTTTCCCTTTTGGTTTGTGCTGGATATTATATGTAATAATTATTTTATTTGTTCTGTGGAATAGTAACTCAGTTTATTAGACTGAGCACAGATTAACAGATTAGACCAGTTTTATAGCTTTATCTTAAAGCTTTCACTCCATTCAGAGCTATGGTTGATGGTTTTGAAAATGTGCTTACTTGATAAGATAGTATCATTTTTGTTTCCCCCTTCACCCAAGGGGATTCGTAAGTTTCTTGTCTGCTGCCTTCCAGAATGGAAAAATCCGAAGCTTATTTAGAGTGTGTTTTATGCACAATAGTCACTGCATACTGTCCAACCAGCCACTAAAACCGCTCGCATGTTGAGGAACTATGCTAACTTTCAAGAGTGCAGCTTAAAATGAAACAAATAAGGATGCAATGAGAGTGGCTCATAAAATGCCCATTAAGTCATGCTTGACACTCACTTAAAGCTTCATGTTCTTACGGAATGCCAGTGTTAAAGGCACATTAATTATTACTGCTTTCTGGAGCAAGGTTACAGCAAGCTTCAAAAATTTCTTGCAAAATTATTATCCTAATAATTCAAACTACTTTGCTTAGGCAGTCATCTGCAGAACAAAAACTTTTCTCAAATCACTTATGTACTTTTAATTTGCACTATTCACAGACCCATAGCAAGTTGTTAAAATGCTAATAACTTACATCTATTGCTAATGCCAAACACTGGAGTTACTAGCAATGTCATTGGTACTATGCAAAAGAAGAATATGCCTTACTGTAAGCATCTTTTTTTGCTGGGACTTGGTGAGCATATGTACTCAGAGATCACAGTTGCTTGCAAAATGTCTCAGGAGGAGTCACACTGCTCCATAAAATAAAGGGTTTGTTACCAATTTAATACTACTTAAAATAGTTCATTTGTGTTTATAGGTTCTCGATGTTTTCCAACCTTGAGTAGCAGAGCTTGCTTCTCTTTATTTGTTATCCATCGGTAAAGTAAGATATGAAATTATAGATGGGTGGGCAGCAACAGAGCAACCACTCAAAAAATCCTGATTTTACTCTTTTTTGGTGAGTCTGTTTTCTTAATTTGATATTCATAAGCACTGTTACAGTAGGATATGCAAAGATGCCAGGAAGAGGCTGATGTTTTGGGAGGCTCTAGCTATTTGTAGAAGAGGAACTGGAGGAAAACAAGGTGTGAGGGAAAAGCTCAAGACAGATTTTGGGGAGATGTCTGTGTCAAATATTAATAAGGACTTGAAAACTGACTCAAACCTCCTCCATATTCAGGTGGAAATAAGCTAAATGGACAGATCCAGGTCAATAGAGGGGAGCTACTTGAAAACCTCACGGGGGATTCTACTCTGAAAGTAAGACTCCTTGGGTTTTGTTCTTGGTAATTAGCTAACAACAAAACCAACCAACCAAAAAAAGCCAACTGTATCCTGGGCTGCATCAAAAGGAGCGTGACCAGCAGGTTGAAGGAGGTGATCCTGCCCCTCTACTCTGTTCTCGTGAGACCTCACTTGGAGTGTTGTGTACAGTTCTGGTGTCCTCAACATAAAAGGGACATGGAGCAAGTTCAGAGAAGGGCCATGAGGACGATCAGGGGGCTGGAGTACCTCCCATATGAAGACAGGCTGATCCATTAAAAAGGTGATGTTTTCCAGCAGAGTTGATTTCTTTTTAAGGAATCAAAGTGGCTGGAGGAAAAGAAGCCCGCACCATTATTGCTAAAAAAAAAATATAAAAAAAAATCCGTAGTTATTTTCTCTACATTTTTTCTTGAGTTCAGACCAGGGGAAGTTAGAGGGATTTAATTTTAGAGGTTAACTTTGGGAAAACAATTTTTTACAAACTAGTTTGTAGTCTTGGATGGTGGATAAAAGCACTCATTCTACAGTCAGATTGGGTACTGCAGGCATAGAGATAATTGTCTTGCTCCACTTGACATCTCTCGTATCTTACTGTCTCTTCCCACTATTTCTATTTAGAAGATGTTTTAGTGTAGTGGATGTGGGGCAATGGGGATGGAGGGAATATGGCTTATCTCCAAGAGCTAATACAAGTCTCTACAGCTGCAGTATGTCCCCTTCTTTCTTTTTGGAGTCTTATACAAAGTCTCCAGTTGTTTGCTTACTCTTTGTTAGCAGTCAGTATTTTACCGTAGGATGTTAACAGCTTCTTGACCAAACCTCCATTGGGTAATGCCTTGTTCTTGGAGCTTTCTCGCTTTGAAATGAATAGTGTTTATAGATTTATTGTTGGTAACTGTTATTGTAAATGTAGACCAGCAAGATATAGAGATGTAACTTTTGGCTTCAGATCAAATGAATCTTTCATTCCGATCTAATTTAGCCAATATAGATTAAATTAACATAGAGCTTCCTCTCTGTGAATTAAATGGATCAATCTTTCTTAGAAAGTTATCAATAATCATATTATTGTACTGGTCTATTAATTCCTTTCCTCAAGAAGTTACTATTTTTATATGGCTACATTGACCTGGAATAATTACAACCCCAGTATTGCTTCCAGCCATTCAGTTTAGCACTCTTCTGCTAAAATTTACTGCTTCTACTAAAGCCTTACAAATACTTGGAAGGAATAACAGTGGATAGAGGAAAATTTCTCACCTGAGTGTCATGAAAGATGTGTCATGAAAGATACGTCATAAAGCTGAACAGGAGTGAGTTTCATGATTTATGGATTAAATATCTCTTTAATCAAGATGTCTTAAGTAGCCAATTTAATCATTGTCATCAACTTCATCAGGGTGATTGAAACCATCATTACTTTAGCAACTAATTAGGAAGAACTGGATAGGGTCTTCCCACTAATGTTGGAGCTGCTCATTAGAAAGGTGTCAGAGGACCCTGATGGTATCTGTGCATAATCTGCCCTGGTGCTTTTGCTGGATTTTGGTAGAGTGTGTATTCTTCCTTAAACTAAACTTCCTTCAGTTTAATTCAAATTAATTACTGCTTTATATTACAAATACCTAAGTATTTATACATAAAACTTGACAAAAGCAAAGTGCACAGAAGTCTATTTGATTGCTTCTTAGGCTTTATAACCAAGGCCAAACAAATCATTAACTATTTGAACACAGTTTAAAAAAAATCTAAAAGAGAGAATCAGATTTTCTGGAAGGGAAAAAAAAAAAACAACCAAACAAAAAAAAAAAAAAATCAACAAAAGGCCAAAGAAGACCAAACCGACCAACCAAAAAAAAAACCAAAAAAACCCATCAAAAAAAAAAAAAAAAACCCCAAACAAAAACCGAACCACAACACTGCATGTAAGCAAAGCAAAATCCCAAAGCATTGCATGCTGGAATGGCAGGTGGCTGATCTGTGGTCAGACATAAAAACAACATTGGGCATGACCAGGAAAATTATGGTTTGGAAATCAAGAGGTTTGCTATCTGGTATAAGAAGAT